TTCGAATCTATATAGGGGAACCAAAAGAAACACAGTGACAAGCCTGTAGACTTGCGTCACCATTATACTTTACAGGAGCATTTTAACAGACAGGGAAGGCGTCCGATACGGTTCGAAAATGAATTTACCCCCCATTATTGCGCGATTTTAGGCTACAAAGTTGTAGCTTTTCCGTTCAATCCGCAACTTGTTTATTCAATAAGATAGAATAATGTTCATTCCATTTCAAGCGGTTTCAGAGAGTCTGGTACGAATGCGGTTTCTAATTCTTAGTTAAAGCACTCTATTTCGTTAATGGTTTCAACATAAGGGTATGGTCAACATTTTTCGAAGGCCTATCGGTGATACGAAAATATGTTTTATACAAAGAATTTGATCTGATTTTTGTTATGTTTTTTTTTTTTTTAAATCATTTCCTCAAGGTGATCACTCCAATTAACAAACTGGTCACTTTGGTCTGCAAGTTCGTATTATGTTCTGTGAAAAAGCTGTATATCCCATAACACTTTCTCAAAAGTCATTTTAGACCCTAATTTACGTGTTTAATATCTTGCTGATGCAACTGCCCAATTTCATTGAACGTTATTTGTTGTGTTACTTTTGTAAACGTATGTGTCATGAAATTCCCGAGCGGGACTGAAATCCAAAGCTCAGGAAATTAAATGCGCAAGCTACGCAGTTTGGTGCCTTCTTCGCGTGAAACGGAAAATACCCTCACATTGAACCACGGAACAAGGAACAGAAAACACTTGCCACTTAACAAAGGTGTAAAAATGGACGAAATGTTGTGGTACAAAACTCATGATACGTGTAATGAGAACGCCCACTTCAACTCAAGGATGGACGTGAAATGACATTTGACATTTTAATGAAGATGGAAAAACAACGCTGATTCATCAGGTTTTTCTTATCAACTTGAAGACATATTGTCAGTGTATGTCTGCAAACTCATCAATCATTTTTGTCATTGAGGGAGGCTGAAATGCGCCATAATTTCATTTTTATCAATGCTACCGGATGATGAGGTTTCTAGTCATTATTTGATGTCATTCACATGAGGTGTCCAATCGGGACCAAAATCAAAACATTTGTTGAGTCACCTTAGACTTATTGTACAAATCTAAGGTGTTGCTAAAATAAAAAATTTTTAAAAAGGACAAATAGACAATGTCTAGGGCCTATATAATACAAACATGAAATGTTATTCAATAGAATGAGGGTAAATTTGACAAATTTTATGCACTTTAAGACTGGTTTCCGATCCTCCATTTCTGTCTGACTTCTAATGCAGGTTTGGGACGAGAAGCACACTATGCTTGAAGATTGTGCATGGTGCATATTTTTTTTCCCGATAAAAATACATAATTGTTTACCAAAAAATACCATTCTCAATCTCTACATTCTTTGAACTCATTCAGATGGAGTGAATTGAAAATTAATATTAAAAATGTATTCGTTCATTTTGTTTAATATGTTTCATTCTAGTTTTTTGACGAGGGTTTCAATTCAATATAACATTTATTTATATTCAACCATGAACATAATACAATTCATATAGCACGTACAATAAAGGAAAATAAATATAAATTTTGTATTGGAAAAACAAATAAGTAAAATTGTAAATGACAAAGCAATTAATTCAAGCCATAATAAGCCTAAGCTTGTCAATAACAGGTGCTAAAAGCATACTGTGACCACTATAAAGCAATAAATGAAACACAAAAATAGTAGTAAAACAATTGTAAACACATAATACTCAGTCAATAACAATGCAGTTAAACTGCATATGCAGTACATGTATATGCCATCAGAAGTATATGCTATATGCCCACTATGAAAGACTATGAACAAAACCGAACAAACACACACAAAAACGGAAGATTAAAAAAAAAATTCAGGGAAAATGTTGGAGGGGCCTACTGGAGTGTGGAAGCACTAATCAAATGTTAGGTACAAAAAAACCCGAAATACCAAAGTATACGTCAAAACAGTTTGGATCACACATCATTTGGTAGAACACTGCCGTCTTCCAGCGACAATTCAAGGCCACCGAAGTCCCAAATGTCAGGATCTCCGTTGATTGTTTCTTTTTTTCTGCTGGGGGCATAGGCCCTATACTAATGACATCGTCTAATCAAGACGACTCTACGCACGGCCTGTTATATAACGTCAAGGAAATTTCAAATCGGAGGACACTGAATGATGCTACCGCACACCTGCTGCCCCACTACGGCTAATTTCATGGAGTTGACGTTAAGCACAAAAAAGTTGATAAGCACAGTATATACTTGCTAAGCAAAAATAGGTTACCAGCTTCACCTTAATGTGGTGCATACTGTTTGTAAATGGTTCACGGCAGACGCCGATTTTGCGGACCTGCTTTAACTTAAAAGTAATTGATCAACATTTGCAAACATCATAAAAAAACTACCAAATAATTATGAAATATGTAACTTAATTACTGGACTGTAAGTGAATAGTCTCAAGAATACTTTGAAAACATTTTCCAGAATAGTAAAATTTTCGTATAAATTTCCAACGATGGTTGGCCAACCATCGTTGAAATAAACTGACTTTTTTAAATACTGGCCCCAATTCACTGAATTTAGTTAGTCCACATTTTGTCTGCAATCGGTTACACATCTCTGAACGGGTGAAAACCAGTTAGTCTGGTTCCCCTGACCTGACATTTCCCTGTCATCTAGAAATTGCTCCGTTTTGTCTGAAGCAGAGTCGGGGAACCAGACTACAAAAACAGCATTTTTTTCTTGGTTTTTCCAGCATTCAACACGAAACTTCAAACAGTTACAGGTCCGTGTCACAATATTTGCTATGAAATACTAACTCCCAAATCCGTCCATTTCTGAAATTACAGCAACAGCAAAAGTTGTACATTACCTGCAAAGCTAAAAGATTTGCTGTAGCAAATATTTGCTTAACAAAAACAGTACTAGCCAAACAGTCATGTTATCCATACCACATTTCAATGGTCCGTTGATTAATGCTGAACACATAAATTTGTGCTGAGCAGTTCTATGATATTTGCCAATGTGTAGGTTTTGCCAGCTATTGCAACACTTACATTACACGATTTCCCAATAACGACACTTTAGCTTCGTCCCTTAACATTGTTGAGCTCCACTTTTTATTTTAATTTCAAGTTTGCACCAATAAATTTAATTGTTGCGGTGCAGTGTCATTTAAGATTCTAAGTCGTCCAAGCTCGTTTGGGGAAAATTCATCTCGTATTCATCTCATTTAAATGCTTGGGTCATATGCTTCGGTCATTTAATCTCGTTAGTAGTAAGCTGAAATCATACAGTTTGATATGTTTCCAATCTGTTAACTTTCTTTGAATTATTACGTATACGTTTTGTGAAATTATAGTTTACTCCTTTTTTCTGAATTCCGTCGAAAAGGTCTTCTCTAACTTTATGAATCACCGTGAAAATCAGGCATGACATGCACGACACATTTTGCTGGGATTGTCCATTCCTGTAATTTTAAATAAAGGGCAAACGGACATAATATACTTCGTTTATGGATTAATCTTTTCAGGCGTTACAAAGAACATTCGACAGCAAGCATAAACATTAATTGGACAATTACTTCAAAGTGTCATTGTGATCGTCCTTCCATTTCCGCCTTCGCCATGCGAGGAATGCACGCACTGAATATAAAGCGCGAAAACTAATGAGAAAAAAATTCTGACTTATTTTTTTTTCAATTAAGCAAATTTCGCCAAACTGGGACGAATTAGAATCTGGACAATCGCGAATAACACGGCACCAAAAACGAAATTTGTTGATGAAAATTGGGCATCGGAATCAATAATGAAGGCCTGACGCCAAAGACAGTCTGGAACGAGATTAAAGCATCTTTCAATCAGCGGTGTAACCGTGAGATGGGGGGGGGGAGGTGTCGGGGGGGGGGGGGGTGCGCCTCGCGCCCCAGCGGATGTCCGTGCTCTTCCCCCGCCTAGCCTGGAAGTGGGGGTGCATGCACCCCATAGTTATGCCAGGCACAGTTCTACGGGGGGGGGGGGCGGGCTTTAGACCCCAAAACTTTTGTTTAGGCCCCCCCCAAAAAAAAAAATGCCCAAAAAGTTAAATATATAGCAGTATATAGCAAATATCAAAAGGTGACGTCACACTGTGAACTGTCTTTGCCATCCCCCCCCCAAAAAAAAAAATTCGTATAACCGACTAGGCGCGGATCCAGAGGATTTGTGTGTGCGGGGGTGTAATTATTTACACACCGGCAATCGTGGACGTAGGACAAAAGAATTGGGGTGCAGACAATACGTCCACGATTGACCAAACGTCCACGGTCTCAAATCGTGTACAAAACCAATGAGAGCTGTCGCTAAAAAGAGTACAAACAAAGGAATGAGGATTAGGGACAATGGGGCGTCCACGATTGCCGGCATTTACACACGTGTGTGCGAGGGTGTGGGTGTGTAACACCCCCCCCCCCCTTGAAAACTGTTGGAAATGTGTTACTAATAACGCACATGTCCACCAGAGGCGTAGCCATTCGTGAGAAGGGGGAACTTGTACACTATTAGGTATAGGCCTACATTGTAATATAGTTGAATGATAGCATTTGATGAGCGCTCCCTATTGAAAATATTGTAAGACCCCCCCCCCCTAACCAATTGGTTTTTGGAGGCTTCGTGTCCGGAGAAAAAAACAGGTCTACATTATTTTCTGCAAAAAAAATCTGCCCCCCCCCCCCTAAAATATAGGCTCTGGAACCGCGCCTGCGCTGCTTTCCATGGAATTTTAATGATGGAAGTGTTCAAGTATATCCGGGAAAACCTACTACCGCTAAAGACGTGAAGTACGTGCAGGCTTGATCACACCTTTACCGCCTTGATGACGTGCGTCGTTTGGATGAATTTTGATTCGTCAGTAGTCACTCCATCATGCATTATTCATTTGGTAATGTCGAAAGTATTCCACAGAGGTATCTGCAGAACTGTATCCTTTTGTGTTCTTTTTTTCTCTAATTAGTGATGAAGTCTATACTGCGCATGCTTAAAACTAACCTTATAATATAGACGCGCACGCAGGGTTGGAACAGTTACACCAGAACCTTTATTCATCAACGAGCATAAAGATTTACCACAATCTCCATTTTATGTTCATAGTCTTGGCAACAATTGGTGCATCTGTACGAGGTCTGAAGTATTGGCTGCTATCATTTTCACAAAACTGAGCGACGTTTTGGTGACGATTTTTTACGACATAGCAGTAGAAAAGAAACTTGTTCGACACAAATAATTCCAACTGCATGTTTCACTGACTTCTCTCGGTAATTATTTAAGAACAGACGCGCAATCCAAATCGAACAACCGAAACACCTCAAAATGTCTGGAAATGGCACTTCTTTGGACGCTTTCCGTTTTACAACCTGCACCGACATCATCTGCGGGCTTAAAGTTGCTACCATCTTTTTTATTTCTACCTTGACCACAGCAGGCAACCTGGTAGCTCTGATCACGATAGGATCCACACCCTCGCTCCGTAACTGCCATGGACTGCTACTCATGTCCCTATCCCTGGCTGACTTGGCTACTGGTCTGGTAGCTAGTACGTCTATGTACCCTTCGGTGTACAACCTGTGGCCCTTTGGTGATACCATGTGTCTGGTCGTGGCATGCATTGAGGCAGTCGCCAAGAAGGCTTCTCTACTGACACTGACATTACTGAGCATTGAGCGCTACATTGCCGTGACACGTCCTCTTAGATACAGCCGAATCGTCACCAAGCAGAAAATACTGGCTGGGCTGACTTTCTGCTGGGTCACTCCAGTCCCCTTTTTCGCCACTCTGTTCCTGACCCGCCAGATATTCAATAAGTACGTCTTTCTACTCCATGCCTGTACCATCACCTACCAAAGCCAGCTCTTGTCACTCACCCTAAACGTTGGCTTGTTCGTCCTGCCGAGTTTGGCCACCGTTTGCATCACCTCAGTGCTGGCCTGGGTGGGAATGAAGAAACACGCCCGTGCCAGAGCCCACATGATGTCCAGGCTTACCGAGCAAGGCGGACAAACGCGCAAAGCCATCAAGTTTTTTCGCATGTGCAGCATCATGGCGTTCACGTTCTACGCATGTTGGGCTCCTATTACCATCGTGGGCGTTGCCTGCGTCCTGGCTGATGTTCGCCAACCCTGGGGTGTGTTCTTCGCTCTGTACTGGCTCCAATTCTCCAACAGTCTTTGGAACGTCGTCATCTACTTCGCCATGAATGATGCATTCAGACATCGCGCCAGAGAGCTGTTCCTATCGCCGTTCGTTGCTCTGCGCAGACTGTGTTGATTAGTATAGGTAAAGACGAGCCAAATCAAGCACCGTACGTCCGGAAACTCAAAAGTTACCTCAGTTTATTGCAAGTCAAGTGCAGTTCCAAAGAAAAAAAACCCAAAAGTGCAGGTTTCAGTTTGAACAGTGAAACTCAGCACTTGGTACGTCAGACTTTTTCCTCATAGTACCCGAAACGGGTTCTGCACGATGTTCCCCAATACCTATATGTTACAGTCCTTAGGGTTATGGGTTAGATGGTTATAGGGTTAGGGTTAGAGTTGGGGAACATAGGTTTTGGGGAACGTATGCACCCCGACAAGCATTGACAGGAACCATTAGAAAAGTAGAGCGTAACGGGGACGTAATCAGATCGGGAAAAAGCGCAACCAAGTTGTGAGATGCAGATTAATGTGGCTTGACATGTAGGCAAAAATATAATATTATCGGTACCCTTTTTCTGAAGCTGCATCAACTAATAATTGGTCCTATTAAACATGATCTCAACTCCAAACCTTTTTTAACCATCCTTACTCTTATTCTTTGTTGTATGTTCAATTATTGATGAATTTATGATCATGAAAGCTGTGTTTTATGTATCATTTTACGGAGCATGTACCATGTCTAAAATTGAAAGATTGTTTATTAATGCACGACCCGACAATGGGTCTGGATAGGATTTGATGGATGTGGTAACAACTTCAAACTTTGTTTAAGAAACATGTACATGTAAACAACAGTCGAAGTGAACCAACTACGTCCGAGGAATCTGCGGGAGTTTCCAGTCACAATTTGGATTTAGCACGGCGGAATGAAATTTCCCGAGACTGTAAATCGTTCATGTGACAGCACACCATTATATTATAATAAAACGGCACGATAATTTGAATGTTTAATTGTCATATCATATTTAATTATTGTATTGTACAGGTTTTGTGTTTTTAAAACCTTGGGTTGTAATCACTGTACACTATCAGTAATTTCCAGTTGTTTAATCGGAGTCTGGCTAAAATTTACGAAATATAACGTTAAGATGTATTTGAAGTGTTTGTTCGATACACAATTTTCTATTTTGTTATGGCCAAAATTGCAAAGGTCTGTTATGTTAATGCCGTCTTTATAACCTCATAAGGCCAAAAAAAAAGTCTCCGGTTTCTGGTATGGAGCTTGTCCAAAAAGTGGTGCGGCGACGCGGCTTTTTTTTTTTTTTACCTGACTTTTTTTTTTTTTTACCTGACTTTTTTGCTTCAAATGTCGGCTGGTGACTGCAAATGGTGCCCGACTAAACTTAGCGCAAATATATGGGAGTCCAGAGAGGCCACATAAAGCTTATTCTCGATCATAACCCCATCTAAAAACACGTTGAAATTGCGCAGCAGCAGAATTCAAGTCAAACCAGTGAGCTTGGCGGTTTTGAGGCATCATCTTTCATTGAAAAAATAAACTTTTTCATTTTGCCGACGCGCATGGCTACGGCGACGCGCGCGCATACCAGAAACCGGAGACTTTTTTTTTTGGCCTAATGATTAAAGGTGTACACGGGATCTGGGGGCGGGGGCGGGGCAGGTTGCGCTGTCGTCCTCCTTAATTGTTCCCGATTGAGCACCACCTCCGGCCCGTGTAATTTTTTTTCCTAGGAGGGTAAGGGGCAATGTCATGAATAATTCAGTTTTTCCTTTGAATCATTGCAAGACTTAGGTTCTCGTTCTATTTTCCCCTTAATTTAAAATTATCTCAGTGATAAATTTGGAGAAGAAAAAATTGCTGATGAAAATGAGCAGCGACGACGTCGATTCGAACCAGGGATTTTTGTATCCATAGCTCATCTCGCTATCCACTAGGCTACTGTGTGGTAGCTTTAAAATGCTTTAATGTATTGTAACTAGTTGAGTAACTAACAACAATGCTGTTGATGTCATTGTCCGTTCTCATGGATAAACATGAATTATCTGTGACATTAATGGGTAAAAACGGGTGTTTCATTATTTCCAATTCGCATGTATAGTACGATTTTCTCCTCAAACCGAATAATTACTCTTCACTATTAAATCTACAATCTTATCATCTTTGTCCACTTTTGTATATAAATCCGTGGTATTGTTTGTCCAGTTTCCTTTGTGTTAAGTGGAGTAAAACTTACGTGGGTATGATGATGATCCATGCATGATTTGTAGTATTTATACAAAATGGTGGTTGAATGCAAAACAACAATCCTATCATAACAGCCAGCTAGGTGGTCGACGGAGTGCAACACGTCTGAACTGATTGAAAAGGAAGATACAACATCAAAAAACGAAATGATCAATTATCACGAAATACCTTACTGAATTGTTAGGGATTGACAGTCTAAAAAGCACCCTGTAAAATCGTGGCTCCTGGTGTGCTGACATTTTCAAGAAAAACTGTATTTTTCCAACGCTGGTCGGCCGACCAGCGTTGGAAAAAAACTGACTTTTTTTCAAAAACTGCTCTTAGTTTTTTCATATTTAGTTATTCCGCATTTTCTTTGCAATAGATTACACACCTGTGAAGGGGTGCAAACCTGCTAGAGTGATTCCTTGATTTTACAATTCCCCAAAGTCTTTACGGGGAACTGGACTACAAGAAAATGATTGGTTTTCTTGGGGTTTTTTTTCAGCGTAAACAAGCCCAAAACGTGAAACAAGTCAATATTTGCTATAACAAACTAATCCTCCAACTTATTTCTGAAAATTGCAGCAAAAGCAAATGTTGTACATTCCCTTTAAGGCAGGAGCTAGTGGAGATTAGAGTGGCGCAGTTAAACGTGGGCTTATGATTTATTTTCTCACATGTAATACGGAGACCATGTTATATCAATTGTTAACAGAACTGATGTTTTGGTCTGACACGTGATGCCAATTTTCAGCAAAAAGTAGGCCTAAACATCTTGTGTACTGCATATCTCTTGAAGTGTAAATGGTTCTTAAAAGTTGAACGTAAATTAGTGCACTCTAAAAACAACATTGGTTAACATAACATAACCAATCATTGGTTGAAATAACCAACAATCGGTTAATATGTACCAATGATTGGTTAATTTGTTAACCATTCTGTTGATCTGTTTATATGGGTTGCCTGTCGCCCGTCGGTATCATGACGTCATAGGTACCGTGCTAAATAAACTGCTTAGCCCACCACGGGCAACGGCACTTCTAGACAAGAATAAAGAGCTTTACCGTGACTAAGCCCATATTATGTCTCCTGCGAAAATGTCCCCCCCCCCCCCGCAACAAAGCGGGGTTGGACCTATAAATCAGAGTTAATAAGTTAAGGAAAATGTTCACCATGACCGCACCATTTGCAAACATTCAAAAATATGAAAAACTGTCAAAATATCATGAAATATCCAGTCCTGTCCTACTTAACATTGATTGTAAGTAAATAATTATGTTCACGCATCCTGTGATATTGCACCTAGTATGCTGTCATTTCCAAGAAGAGGAATTACCATCATTTTGCTCGCGATGTATACCCGAGTGATAAATATGCAGATCTCATGTATACAGAGGGGGACGTTTTCTCAATTTGTTAATTTATGGTGCCGTCAGATGTGAATTGCATTACGATTGGGAATACATTGGGGGTTTCAGGGCTCGTGGTCTTACACTCGAGTCCCCTCGAAACCCAAGTGAGGTAAACGAACCCATAAATGGGCGAATGGGCAAACAAAATCCCATGTGGAGGGATTATTTGTCAATTCAAATTATCTTAGAGCTTGTACTCGTGTTACTTGTCATCGTACATCTAGAATGTTTTCTTCGAATGTGTCTATTTATTCCTCCATGATAAAACAGGCTGGAAAATAAACTAAGTTTAGCACTTGTTGGACACCCCCCCCCCCCCCCCGGCGGCGCGGCCGGCACGTGTGCACGTGCCGCATAATTAATATGCATGTCTGTGTGACCGTTTTATCCGATTCTCGGCTAACTTTGACATATTTTTTGTTTAAAAAAAAACGGGATTGACAGAAAATTTGACAGAATGGATTTTTTTGGGCAGATTTAGTCTGGCAGAATTCTGCACAAATGGTATTTTGACAGAAACATAGCAAATTTGAAAAAAAATGGTACATTTGTTTTAAAAAGTTTCAATCCTTTGAAACAAACCCTTGCATAGTGCACAGGTTGGCTGGTCTAGGTGCTGAGGTTCACTGGGAAACGGACTTCGTCACGTGGCCGGATCCGCGTTTTGCCCGAAATTTACCAATAATTTCACATCTATTTATGTGAGATTGTTTATTATGTAATTTGAATCTTAATTAAGGCAATAATACCGATCTGCATGCGATTTTAAGTGTTTATAGTGTATTTCGAGTAATTCTGGGGAATTTGGCAGATTTTTGATAAATCTGACAGATTTTTGAAGTGCATTTAGCAATAGAAGAATTTGGCTCTGACCTTTCACCCTGCATGTGATTTGTCTTGTACAAAATGGCAGCTTCTACGAGGGATGCGTGCTCATTTTCCGAGCCTCAGCGTATCATTACAACCAACTTGAGCCTTTTATGGGACGTAAATTTCACCGAAAGAAAGCTGAGTGGCTCCGTCCAGCTAGATCTACGGATTCTCAGCGATGACGTGTCATATTTGGTGAGAAGTAGGGATTTCATGGCTTTACTTGTTGCCCAATTTCCGGACACTATTTCGTACAGCAGGCTGTGTGATTAGTGTATGAGGGGCCGCCCCGAAGTGGTTTAACTTAAGTCATGGCATGAGGGCGGGCGGGGTAAACAAAAGCATCATGCGCACTATCCGACTGGCCGGCAGTTTCACCAAAGTTGAGGGGGGGGGGGGGGCCTCGGTACAACTATAGAATACAGGGCCACTCCATTACTCATTAGTAATATATCCGTGCATCCATGGCTGCGTGGATGCGCGGTCGGTTTTCTATAGCGCCCTCTATTGATTAAAATTCACATAATGCCCACTCTGCATCTGTGCATGCTTGCATCCAGACATCAAATAAAGCGCCCTCTATTGATTAAAATTTACTTCATGCCCACCGCACATCCGCGCATCGAGGCATCCATTAAAGCGCCCTCTATTGATTAAAATTTACTTCATGCCCACCCCGCATCCACACATCCAAGACGGAGCGAGTGGGTAGGTTGGGGTTGGTTTTAGATAGGGAAATAAAGTAGTGGGTCCTGGGGTAAATACAGTAGAGGGTCCTGGGGTAAATAAAGCGCCCTCTATTGATGACTTCATGCCCATCCACCACGCATCCACGCATCCAAGACGGAATGAGTGGGTAGGTTTGGGTTGGTTTTAGATCGGTATACATTCTACAGACTATAATTCAACGTCAATAATTCACTCTCTACAGCGCCCTCTATTGATCACAATTTGCTTCATGCCCATTCACTCTTTATACCGCCCTCGATTTTTTGTTATTTCACACCCGTTGACGTATTATAATTTATTTAATTTATACAATTACCTTCTTTTTATTTGAAAACTTAATTTGACTTTTTTATGGAAAGTATGGAAATAAATGTTGCCTTTGAATTTGAGTTTAAATTCTGGAAGGGTCTCTTACGACCACACTGTCACGTCATAGTTATGTCTCCAGCGTTACACGTGAATTCCTGATGAGCATGTTATAAGCTGGAGTTTCTCAAGCTGTACGTGACCACAGACAGAGATGCTCTCTAAATCTTAAAGCTATAGTCCATCATTTGCAGCCATCCGAAAAGTAACTGGCGTAATTATTGTTAAAAAACAAATTTGGTTGAAAGATAGTAAGGGAACTAAACTCCCTGTGAAATTATTCTTTCTGGGAAGCTGTCATTTTGAAGTAATCAACGAAAGAAGGCATTTCCAACGGTGATTCTTAAGAAGCACCATAGGAAAATTTAAATTAGTAGTTCGTTTTGTTATTCAGCGCAGCGCACACAAGTATTGGAACGACGCACACGCGCGCGCGGTTGTTGTAATTCGTCGGATCAGTGCGCGACGTCGCGTATAGCTGCAATTCAAAACAATTCAAAACATGATTCAGTAACTTTTGATTTGAAATTGAGTTCTTAGAATGCTGTTTTTCTCGGAATGTACAGCTGAAGCTTAGCTGAAACTTCATCAGGTTAGTTGCTCAGTATCCTTCATTGGATTTTGAACACTTTTGTTGCTTCAAACGAACAAAATGCACTAATTACAAATGATGGACTATAGCTTTAAAATGCTGGGTGGGAAATGGATCATTAGCAGACTACAGCATCGATTTGAAAACATTCTCTGGTTCAATTCTTTTAAAATATAGTCGTCTTTTTATTGGAAGAGGGCAGTGACTAATGTCTTGGCTCCTTGTCGATATTGGTCAGTGCAGGTGCTGGACACAAGCAACCTTGAAATATTTAGCGTTTGTGACGAGACATCTGGTGAAAAGTTGGCCTTTCATCTAGCTGAGCCAAACAAGGCAATAGGAACTGCACTCCACATCAAATTGCCATCCAGGGCACAGAACAAGTAAGTGGTAAAATCTTATATACCGTGTTTTATGAACTCATAAAGATAAACAACACATAGGCAGATGTCAACATGATTGTTTCCATGTGATGTGCCATTGAAAATGGTGAGAATGAGTAATACTTGGATTATATTGTTTTCTCTGATATTAAATTGTGTGTTTTTACCAAAAAAGCATCACCATTTAAAGCTTTACCTATGGACATTTTAGCCCTAACCCCCTCGGCCCTTGTTGCTTACAACCATCCTCAATCCTCCAAAATCCTCCAAAATTTTCCAAAATTTTGCAACTCCGCCTAAATTTTTCAAAATTGTCAGACAGTCCTGCCTCAAAATGCATTCATCCTCAATCCTCCAAAATCCTCCTCATCCCAAAACTTTCCACTCGTGTTTAAATGAAGGATAACCAACGCCAAATCCTTCAAAATCATCAGACAGTCCTGCCTCAAAATGCATTCATCCTCAATCCTCCAAAATCCTCTTGTGCTTCAATCACCATTCATCCTCAATCCTCCAAAATCCTCATGTGCTTCAATCACCATTCATCCTCAATCCTCCAGAATCCTCATTTGATTCAATCACCATTCATCCTCAATCCTCTAGAATCCTCCAAAACCGCCAGGAGGATTTTGGAGGAGTGAGGTGGGTTAGGGTTGAGTTACAAGTCTCCCCCATCCCTCCCCCCTCTCTTCCCCCCCCCCCCCTCGGGCTGCCCCACCCAAGACGTGGGGATTGTCACTTTTGAAGTGACAAAATCCCCACCCCTCGAGAAAAATTTAAGTGACAATCCCTGACCATGCCCCGACATACATACGTGGGGTGGACTAGTGATTGCCTTTCCATGTAGTATGCCAATGGTAACAATGTAATTTGAGTGACCAAAATCCCCACCCTGGGGCATGAAAAACGTAACCAAAACCAAAAACAAATTTTCCATTTTTTTTACTTACAAGTCAATGTCGTTTTTTGACTCAAGTCAAATATAACAAAATGTTTTGCAGTGATATTGCTTTGAATTACATTAATTCCTAATGTGAAATGGGCAAAACGTTAAATATTTCATTGTTTTCACATATCCGAAGAGGTGACGTTTGTCAGTTCATAAAAACCTGTCAGATTTTTTTTTTTTACATTGCTGTATGTCATCGCAAATTACAACGAAATTCTCTTCTGATCATTTTTTAGGGGAGCAGAGCTACGTGTAAGGATTTCTTACGAGACTTCCCCTAGCGCCTCGGCCCTACAATGGTTGAAACCATCACAAACCGCTGGCAAGAAATATCCATATCTCTTCAGCCAGTGCCAGGTAATTGGTCACCACCCAGATACAAAGTGGTCCGGTGACACCTGTGCGTAACAAGAATGAAAGGTTAAAGGGAATATACATCATTTGCTTTTGCTGTAATTTTCAGAATTGGATGGAATTGGGGGGTTGGAAATATATAGCAAATATAGTTACACTGACTTTTTTGAGGTTTTGGGTTTGAAAATGCTATAAAAACCAAGAAAAACAATCATTTTCCTGTAGTCTGGTTCCCTGACTCCATTTAAAAAGAAACAGAGCAGTTTACATATATTGGGGAATTGTAAGGTCAGGGAACCAGTCTAGCTGGCTTGTACCCGTTCATAGGTGTGTAATCGATTGCAAACAAGTGCGATGGTCAATTGGGGCCAGTATTTGAAAATAAGCCAGTTTTTTCCAATGTTGATCAGCCGATCAGCGTTGGAAATTGATACAAAAATACCACTTTTCTTGAAAATGACAGTATACCAGGTGCCATGATTTTACAGGATGCTTTACACTGTCATTCACTAACAGTCCAGCAAGGTATTTCAAAATGATTTGGTAGTTTTATTTATTGATGTTTGCAAATGTTGTATTTTCCCTAAAAGGCTTTAAAAAATCACATAAAGGATGCGTGTTGGATGAGACGTCATATTCTTTTGACACATACATGTGCTATGTTATAAAATGTTGTAAATCGTAATCTGTGGTCATGGCATAGGAAAACCTTTGAGTACTGGGAGACTTTTGAGACATTGGTGGCAGCAAACACACTGGTCCTCTTCAATTGTTTACGTTATGTTAAAGCCGAAGCGTGCATGCTCAAAATGACGCACCAATGCCTCAAAAGTCCCCCATTGTGGTGCTTTTAAAAAATGGTGAAATGTTATATTAAAAGACAGCAAGTAAACATTTATGTAAAAGGAGGTATTAATCTTTTTGGTTTTTTTGTTTGACATTTTCTGCAGGCTATACATGCACGCAGCATGGTTCCTTGTCAGGACACACCGGGAGTCAAGGTACCATACCAGGCCAAGGTCAGTCCACATTTGTTTCCATTGACATTTCTGCCTTTAAACCCCAAAAGTAACCGGTAAAACCCCGTAGAATGCCGGGGTTAATCCAAAGGTACTGCCTGTTTAATTTGCATTCTCCCCTCGCAGACTGTAAGTCATAAATATTGAGGAAGAGAAAGGGGAGGAGCCCTGCCCTATTGATGCTTAATTATTCCTCAGTAACTCTGAATATTTAAAACTCTGAATATTCATAACTATCTAATTGCTACAGGTGGCAGTACCTAGAGATTTGGTTGCTATAACAAGTAGGCAAGGGAGGAGCCCTTCCCTGCCCCACTAAGCTTAATTATTCCTCAGTAACTGAATACTCATCCTGAATATTCATAATTGTTCAATTGATACTTTTGACGTACCCAGAGATCTCTTTGCCTTGATTGAGTGCCTTTAGACAAGTGGAGGACCCCTGCCCTACTGATGCTTAATTATTCCTCAGTAACTCTAATTATTCATAACCGTATATATTCATAACTGTTCAATGGATACAGTTGACCGTACCCAGAGATCTGGCTGCCCTATGAGTGAAGTAAGGCAAGTGGAGGAGCCCTGCCCTACTGATCGCTAATTATTCCTCAGAAACGCTGAATATTCATGACCCTCCTTTTGTTACAGGTGACGGCACCATTTGATCTGGTTGCCCTGATGAGTGCATTTAGGCAAGGGGAGGGGCCCTGCCCTACTGATCCATAATCCTCAGTAACTCTGAATATTCATGACTCTATAATATTGGTACAGGTGACAGTACCCATGGAGCTGGTTGCTCTGATGAGTGCCGTCGGGCAAGGGGAGGAGCCCTGCCCTACCGATGCCTCCAAGAAGACGTACATCTTTCAGCAGACTGTACCGATACCATCCTATCTCATCGCTATTGTGGTTGGCCTATTAGAGAGCAGGTATGTATGCAGTGGAAACTGGACTGAGAAGGGGAATATTGCATTGTGCTCGAAGAGGCCCTGTTTATTTAACATCTCTGCATTGGATCAAGGACAACCCAAAGATTTCAGGAATCCTTCACACCAGCAAGAATCCAATTTGGCTTCTTCACGGGTCTAGCGCTCTACACAGGTTAAATTCAACCCTGGTGGGGACTACCTAGGTTCAGAGGCTCTACCTGCGTAGAAAATCTAAACCTCTACATCTGGCACATGTACAAACCAGTTAAGTGTGAACAGTGTGCCTTGTAAACCCTGCTCATGGTGGGTCTGTGTTTATTTCAACACGGGTACGCGAGACGATAGGCCTGAAGTCTTCATGTTTTCCCAGCAGAAAGAGCGTGAAAAGGGAACATCTCAATATTCAAAAGGAATTTCGATTTATGTTTACAGTTTAATTTTTTTTTTTTGTACATATTTATTGCAATATTATATTGAATATATTAAAGGAAAGTATGACCGAGTGGCTAGGACTTTTGATCACAGGGTCAGGGGTTCGAGTCCAGCTACTGGCCATGTGGTGTGCCCAAATTAATATTGACATTTGGTAAAAAATGTGCCTGCAATGGACAAGCATCCTGTGTATGGGGATAGAAGTACTCCATTGCTGAATCTTTATATTAATTCCAATGATATTGACCATTGTCTCTCTCTCTGTTACATTTGTCAGGACAATTGGTCCTCGCTCCAAAGTCTGGTCTGAGAAGGAAAACATTGATCAAGGCGCTTATGAATTTGCTGAAGTAAGTTGCACTGGGTATACCTGGTCTCTTAGCATTCCGTTTTGGTGAATTGATCAATGAGAATTCAGGAAATACGGATTTGTGTATTCATGGATTGTCCACCGCACTGTGTCAAAGTACTGGTTTGTCATAGGCAAAGTGTTCTATATTGTCGAATCTCTTTGGCAAGCTGAAAATCATATTCATACATACCTAAGAGTTTTTGAGAATTAAAAGATATCTACTTGCACAATTATATTTGGGACATCCTGTATACAGCCGTGTTAGCCTGCTAGATACGGTTATACAGAGAAGGTAGCACTTTAAAGACTTACTAAAAGTAAAAATATGGCTAAGCTTACGTAGCTACAGCTACTTCATCAGATGCAATGAAGAGAGACCTCTTCGCTACCTTCTCTGTATAACTATCGATCTCTTGACAGACTGAGCAGATGTTGCTGATAGCTGAGGATCTCCTTGGCCCGTACGTCTGGGGGCAGTATGATCTCCTGATCCTGCCCCCGTCCTTCCCCTGTGGAGGGATGGAGCATCCTTGCCTTACTTTTGTCACGCCAACACTTTTGGTGAGTTTTCGGTACTTGACTATAAAACCTTTTGATTAAGATATTTTTTTTTTGGCACACACTATAAATTTCTTAACAGACTGAGCAGATGTTGCAGACCGCAGAAAATCTTCTTGGTCCCTACGTCTGGGGGCAGTATGATCTCTTGATTCTTCCTCCATCCTTCCCCTATGGCGGGATGGAAAACCCTTGCCTTACTTTTGTCACGGCGACACTGTTGGTGAGTTTTCAGTGCTTGACTAAATCAACTACAGTGTTGTATTCGAGTCGATCACGAAGTAAATCAAGTCGGATCAAAAGTAAAAGTCATTTCGCAAGTCTTATCACAAGTAACAGATGTTGAAAAGTAAGAAAGTACAGTGAAGCGTCACTATAACAAACACCACTAAACAAACGAGGGCACGTGTGGTCTAGCGGTAGAGCACAGGCCCCATGATCGTGGGATTGTAGGTTCGAGCCCCGCCGTGGCCATCGGTGTCCTTGAGTAAGGTGCTTTACCTCAATTACTCTTCTCAACCCAGGTGTTAAATGGGTACCGGCATTATTCAATGCTGGGAAGGTAACAGACTCGCTGTGGAGGAGGTGTGGCAATCCCCCCATGTACAGTAGCAGCATTACATTGAGTCTGGCCCAATCGCTTCAAAAGAGAGATGGGCACTCTGTTCCTGTAAACACAGGTTCATCCCCTTTACCTTTTACTAAACAAACATTTGGCTATAAAGAACGCCCATTTGGCTTCCGAAATAGTAAAAAACGAACGACCATTATAAGGAACATTTTTTATGGACCCTGTCGTGTTCCTTATAGTGACGTTCTACTGTACTGCCTTTACTACTGTTGATTTGAATAACTTAAGCCGAGACGACTTGTGGACTTGTTGGGAATTATGATTGACTCGACTACAACACTGCTTAGTTTGCTTGTACTCGCCTCCTTTATCTAAGGCCACGTGTCATTGCTTATCTATTTTGTAACGTCTTGGAAAGGAAATGCAAGGCATTATGGTTTACATTATGGTTAATGCACATACATTCAGTGCACATCCAATGACAGCTCAATGAAATTACCTGTTATCAGTACTCTTTGTGGGGTGGTGGATATGGGCTCTAGAGGGACTACACACATAAATAGGCCCTTGATTAGGAAAAAAGAGTTACAAAGTAACTCACTCTGCCCTCAGATACCTGATTCGGAAGGCAGATTTTCGCCATGAGAAACCAACTTACAGCCTGGAGCTATTGCCTTGCTTGATTCACAAGGCCAGGTTCCCATTCTAATGATAAAAGGACTGATTCTGTCTCATTTTGCATCATGTGTACGGTGTGGATGATCATAACAATAATATTGTTAACTAATAAATGTTTGATTTTTGTCTTGAACAGGCGGGTGACAGATCTTTGGCAAATGTGAGTACAGTTGTTAGACGTACACATTGAGTGCGTTCGATTACTTCCCCCCAGCTTACTCGCGCCTGGCTCCTCGCGTGATGACTGACATGCGCAGTGGAGCTAAATAAACGAACGGTTTCGGGTAAAGTTTCGTGCAAGAGCTGGAAAGTTGAACTTTGACATGACACAAGCTGCATCCGAATCAACTGTCTAGAGCTAGGTCTAGGCCCAGGCCCATTGAAAATACGCAGCGATGCGCTGACAAGGGTAGCCGTAGTTTGGAAGCCCGTTTTCGGACACGGCCTGAGGTGCCCGCCGGACGTCACATTGGCAGCCATGTTAATTGCATGGCCTTATGGGATACTTACCCATGCAACCGGCTCGGCGAGTCGGTTACTTGGGCCAGGCTCGAGTAAGCGCAAGAAGTCACGGGAGAGGTAAATCGAACGCTGTCGCACTTGCGCGAGTAAGTGCGGGGCAAGTAATCGAACGCACTCCTTGCAATAAGGTTGAGATATTATGGATGCAGGTTAAACGGTTGATACCTTTAACTACCAAGAAAGTCTTGTGGTCAGTGAGTCAAGGACCAGATGGTCATCAAGGCCAGTTGGTCCATTGAAATGCGGGGCTGGGGTTAATGCACCTACATAGTCTGGACATATACATTTTTTGAACAATTTAGACAAAGATATTTGGCTATAGGGCCATCACAGATTTGTCCTTTGAAAAAAATATTGGTAGAACTACAAGTAATTTTGAAAATGTTCAATATGGCTGCCATTGCTTGTTATTCTAGCTATTTTTCTTCAAAGGACAAAACTGCGACGGCCCTTTAGCCAAATATCTTCCTCATGACATAATCTGACTGTGTGCCAAATGCCATGCTTGTATCATCAAAGGCACAATCCCATCACCTATTTGCCGTATTAATAGCACCTACCCCTGTTGCACCTTAAAGATATAGTCCATCATTTGTAATTTGTGCATTTTGTTCGTTTGAAGCAACAAAAGTGTTTAAAATCTAATGAAGGATACTGAACAACTAACCTGATGAAGTTTCAGTTCAGCTTCAGCTGTATATTCCGAGAAAAACAGCATTCTAGGATCTCAATTTCAAATCAAAAGTTGCTGAATCATGTTTTGAATTGTTTTGAATTGCAGCTATACGCGATGTCGCGCACTGATCCGACAAATTATAGCAACCGCGCGCGCCTGTGCGTCGTGCCAATGCTTGCGCGCACGCTGCGCCGAATAACAAAACGAACTACTAATTTAAATTTTCCTATGGTGCATCTTAAGACGCACCGTTGAAAAGGCCTTCTTTCGTTGATTACTTCAAAATGATAGCTTGCCAGAAAGATTAATTTCACAGGGAGTTTAGTCTACTAACTATCTTTCAACCAAGTATGTTTTTCAACAATAATACGCCCGTTACTTTTTCGGAAGGCTGCAATTGATGGACTAAAGCTTTAAGCTGCTGGCTGGATTAGGCGAACAAAATCCAATCTCGGACCAAGACTGAACCCCTTCTTGTTTGGAACTGTTTGTCTCAGGTTGTTGCCCATGAGATCAGCCATAGCTGGACAGGCAACCTGGTCACCAACTGCAGCTGGGAACATTTCTGGCTGAACGAAGGATTCACTGTCTTTGCAGAGAGGAAGATCGCCGGCAGGATGCACGGGGAGAAACAGAGGCACTTTGAGGCAATAGGTGAGGGGACTTCACGGGGTATGATTTGGGGTAATGAGGGGTGTGGTGGGGGGTGGTTTGGGGAGGGGTAAGTGGGTGCATGGCTGGCGACACTGAGGGAAGCTGAGACTCTTTGAGGCAATAGGTAAGGGGGACTTCAAGAGGGTATGATTTGGGGTAATAAGGGGTGTGGTGTCGGGGTGGTTCGGGGAGAGGTATGTGGGTATATGTCTGGCGACACAGAGGGAAGCTGAGACACTTTGAGGCAATAGGTATTAGGGGGACTTCACAAAATCATTTATTATTTTTATCCTTTGCAGGCGGATGGAAAGACCTACAAAATGCTGTAAGTGAATTTGGAAATTTTCAAGTTTATTTGATAACTTGAATGTGGATAAGTCATACAAGGTTCAGTGGAGAGCAAATTATTTCTTAATGGTTTCATGAATTATTTTAAATAATTTTTGCTTTCATTAACTCAAGGTCACATTTCCCATATGTAACTTTACAGTCCCTTTTGTGTGCAATAGTCCTGCAGTTTAGAATCGGCCTTAGATGTACAGTGGACACTAAAAATGCGCATCATATGGAAAAGCAACATGAATCACTACAATCTATGGTTTTGTTTTGATGATCTAAAGTTGTCTACATTCTTGACCCAGGTGGATAGGTACGGCGCCACCCACCCCTTCACCCATCTCATACCCAGTCTGAAGGACGTGGACCCTGATGATGCATTCTCCAGTATACCTTACGAGAAGGGATCCACGTTGCTGTTTTACCTGGAGACGCTGGTTGGCAATAATGGTAATGGTGACTGTACAGTAGAGAGCTTTTGCATGAGAATGGTTACAGTTAGTGCACTGGAAATGGCATCAGTTTATGAGGTCTTGTGATGTCATATGCGACTCATTATATCTTCTACCCATGTACGCAGTACAAATATATCCGTAAGATGGAATTTTGCGTCGGGGTGATGTCGATGAAGGGCAAAACCAAATATTGATTTACATCACCCCGATGCAAAATTCCGTCTTAAATAAATAGTTAAATGCGGTACCCGCTGCTTTGTACATCAGATTCGAACCAGCTAACCGATCCCGTAAGTTTGGTGGTCGAGTGGTAAGACGTCTGCACTAGAAAGCAGGATATAGTGGGTTCGAGTCCCGCCCGAGTGATTTTTTCCAACTTTCACTCGGGAGGTCACACACTGAGTATACAGTGTTTATACGTCAGTGAAGGGAAAAACCTAATATTGCTTTACAAATATATCGCTGTGATATATCAGTATGGCAAACTTAAGTTTGCTGTTGATTTATTCAATCATGTATAATTTTGATTGAAAGAGGATAAATTGCTGAACATGTATGTGCCATTCGTCCATGTTTCACAGCAAGATTAGCCGCAGATACGAGGCTTTCATTGGAGGTTGTCATTTTGGGGTTATTGTGAAGCGAAACAGTGGAATGGCAGATAACAGTTAACAATTGTTGACTGCTGTGATGTGGGATGTGACGTTTTGAACACCAGAGGGGCGCATAGCACCCGAGGCGAACCTCTGTCTTGGATTCTTTGGATTTTGATGTAAAAATCACGAAAACAAGCTTCAGTAAACACAACAATCATGACAATCGAACGTCGACCCACGTGCATGTCGCGTGCTTGAAACAGCTGATCGTCTGCTAGTTCGCTGCTCCCACACGTGTGAAAACATGGTGAAAATAGCGGGGGTACCAACGATACAAGCATTTCACACCGTACGTGATATCCCACAGGGAGTGTGCCATGACTTTTTAGAAACTTAACACGTGATCGTTCTGGGCCAATGAAAATACAGTATTCAAGACAGAGGTATAACAAGTACAGATAGTTAAACGCATGTGTATGCATAATTGTTTAGATGCAAAACCTCTATTGTAAGAGAGTTGTAGTTTAGCTAGTCAATATGTTTTCAGCGAGATCTGTTTTTATTTACAATCCGAAGAGGCAATGGGAATGTCCAAGAATTACAGATGCTCATACAGTTTTTAAGAGGACTTACAATTTGTCATTTTATTTTGTGGTAGATGAGTTTGAAGCTTTCCTGAAGTCCTACATCAACAAATTCAAGTATAAGAGCATCACCACTCAGCAGTGGAAGGACTACCTGTATGAATACTTCCATGATCAGGTAAAAAGAATTGGTGAATTGCGATACAAATTCACAAGCTTACTTTCACGCAAACCCAGTACTTCCTGCCTATTAACGAAGACATCTTACCACTCAACAATCAAGCTTGCTGGGGTCGGCTGGTTGGTTCAAATCTAATGTAGCCCTGGGGATTACAGTCACTAATTGATTTGGTTTTTTCTCGCAAGCCCTTGGACAAGCAATGACAATACACAGATGCAAAAACTTCCATTGCCAAAAAGAAAAAATAGCGTGAAGGCTGACAAAATGGAAAGATTGGCTCTCTCTTCATGTTTTTCCTGAGTTAGTAAGCAGCTGCAATCTTTGTTTTAACCAACAGCAATCGGTATTCGACGTTGTGGATTGGGACGCTTGGTTCTTCCAACCCGGAATGCCGCCTGTAAAACCAGAGTAAGTAGATTGATCTGAAGTTCAGTTCCCTCAATTCCTTTGAGGAGATGGTGGGAAAACAAAACTGTTGTCGTAATTGAGGCAAAAACCCCAAATTGACAAACCAGATATTGACCTCCTCACTTTACTTGAAAACTTTATCAGTGCAAGAAAGACACTCAAAACTTGTTTCGACCATCACATTTTCAAGAGTTTTTGTGTAACAAAGTTTTCAGAAACACTTAACCAGTCCTAAATTCTGTATGACCGTACTTACCATGGACCACTTTGTGGGGTACTTGTTCATTGTTAGAGGTACCCCGCAAGTGAAATCTTTAGAAACTAGGGTACCCCGCAAGTGAAATCTTTAGAAATGGGGATAAAAGGACAACAATGCTCCTACCCCAGAACTGTCCATCCGCTGGAACGTTTGAGACCCATAGACCAGTACTGACCATGGCCGCTTGTGGGGTACTCGTACAATGGGAATGGTACCCCACAAGGGAAAAAAGGATAAAAGGACAACAATGCTCCTACCCCAGAACTCGTTCCCATTGAGTCGTCCGTGTGACCATAGTCCCGTATGTTTGTTAAGGTTTTTGAATTATTCTCGTTTCCTTACTATTCACCTGAATTCCATAAAACTTGGACACGAGGGTCATTGAGTAGCAAAGCTAATGTGGGATATATTTCAGGTCAAAGGTCAACTGAGGTTAATAATGATGTAATTCACAGTTTTGTAAAATATTAACAGATATTCACATGCTTTCTTGGATTTTGATGAAACTTAAATGCAGTGACCCTTGGGTGGGAAGACACAATGCTTCATCGGATTACTGAGGTCAAAGGTCATGTAGGGGTTCATTACAGGTCATTGTTCAAATAGGCTTCAAATGTTTCTTTGTCTACAGAATTTGATGGATTTTACTGTCGCTTTGATGGAGTGATCCTTGGGTGGGGGTTCATCACAGCTCTTCTAAAATTGGAGGTCAAAGGTCATCCAAGGGGTCATTTCGGGTCGTCATTTAAAAATGCACAAAATTTATCTTCTTTTTTAAGAATGCAAAACATATAGGGATCGACTGCAGAAAAATGCAACACGTGCGATCCGCAGATCACTTGTTATATTTACCAACTTTTACAAAAGTGTGCATTTTTCATAATGGGTTAAGTAATTCTTTTCAATAAAAGAACCAATTTTGATCCTTCATTTTCCCATACAGTTTTGACACAACATTGAGCAGTTGTTGCTCTGAGCTTTGCCTGCGATGGTGCCGATCGGCGACCTGTGACCTGACCTCGTTCACCAGCGATGACCTCGGGTCACTGACCTCAAAGCAGGTCATCGAAGTGCTCTCGCAACTTCTACTGGAGGTTGGTTTTGTTGAATGAAAATATTAATCCAATATGGGGTTTTGCCCTTCACAATTTCATAATCATGACAATAATTTTGTTGTTGATGTGTACTTTTCTGGTTTCAGCCGCCATTGAGTTCTGAGCACATCCAAGCTATGGAGAAGACCTATAGGTTGGGTGAGAGTGGGAACGCTGAGGTCAAATTCCGCTGGTTTCGTCTATGCATCCGGGCGGGATATGAACCCGTCACACAGAAAGCGCTGGACTTTGCCGTCCAGTGGGGACGACTCAAATTTACCAGACCAATTTTCAGGTAAGTGCAATGAACGGTTTCTTTTTCTGACATAATTGTAACTTTGGCCAGCATGTGTTCAGGCAGATTTCTTTGAGGGAATTTTTGGACTGAATATTTACTTGTTTAAATGCTCATATCAGTTCATTTTTATCAGTTCATCATATTGGTTGGGCTGTTTTTAACTGTTTTAATGTATTTGAATTAGAAATAACAATACATATTTATTTCAAACCCCATTACAAATTACATTCCTTTTACAGAAACTTGAATGGAAGTTTTAATGCATAAGGCCAAAAAAAAAAGTCTCCGGTTGCTGGTATGCGCGCGCCTCGCCGTAGCCATGCGCGTCGGCAAAATAAAAAAGGTTTTTTTCCAATGAAAGATGATGTCTCCAAACCGCCAAACTCACTGGTTTGACTGGAATCCTGCTGCTGCACAATTTCAACATGTTTTTAGATGGGGTTATGATCAAGAATAAGCTTTATGTTGCCTCTCTGGACTCGCATATATTTGCACTAAGTTTAGTCGGGCACCATTTCAAGGGCGGATCCAGGGGGGGGGCCAAAGGGGCCATGGCCCCCCCCCCCCCCCAAAACGAAACCAATTTTTTTTTTTTATGTGACATCGCAATAAAGGCAGGCAATGAGTACACCACCATCTTTTCCTCAAAAAAACATTGGTTAAAGTGGTCAGAAATTGCCTCAGATCGCACCACAGAACCCCACGCCGTAATTTTTTTTACCCACTTTTTTGGGGGACCAAAAAATGTTTTGGCCCCCCCCCCCCCCAAAATTGTGTTCTGGATCCGCCCTTGCACCATTTGCAGTCATCAGCCAACATTTGAGGCAAAAAAAATCAGGTAAAAAAAAAAAAGCCGCGTCGCCACACCTATTTTTGGGCAAGTTCCATACCAGAAATCGGAGACTTTTTTTTTGGCCTAAGATCGACTACAAATAATCAAGCTGTGATAAAAGTGTATGAACCCCCCCCCCCCCCCCCCCCTAAACAAACCCAAAATAAAATGTATTTAGGAATTATTTTTATTCATTATTCTGTTGTGATGAACATTTTTCATTATATTTACAACCATCCCTTTTATAGTACACTTATTTGGGTTCTTGTTTTCTTACAAAAGGGATCTGTTCAAATTTGCCGTTGCCCGTGACCAGGCTATTGCCACCTTCAAACAGCATAAAGACGACATGCACCCAATAACAGCTGCAATGATTGGAAAAGACCTGCAGGAAAGCCAACAGCCAAGTCAGTAGGAGCTGCTGGAAAGTCAACAGCCAAATCAAGACTTGCTGGAAAGTCAGCAGCCAAATTAAGACCTGCTGGAAAGCCAATAGCCAAGCCATTGAGGCTAAGTTGACATTCGTATCCAGGCATGCATATTTTTAAAGTGCCATATTATCAACCAATGACCAACATTGTAATCAGTATAGACAGATACAAAGGCATTTATACAAATTTATAGCCGAAAGTTTATTAAAAATGATATAAATACTGCAATGGTGTTAGATTTAACTTGGGTGGTTTCTATATAGGACCATCAGTGTAAAACCTTTACACCGGCATCCCATAGAGATGCCAACGCTGTTAAATGTACTCCGCACTAAATGCAGTGAATAGCCAAACATGGCTGTACAAATTATCAAAATATTGCTCAGAATATAAATAAATTGCCAAACCAAAGAAAAGCAATTGATATATAGTAAGTAATATGCAAAAAAAATGATTTACTGGAATCTAACATTGCAGTAGCTTCTTTAAAGTGCCGATAAAAGGATGTATGAAATTATATCATAGTTGTCAGTTGGAAAATGACTGCAATATCAGCTTCAGTGATTGAGGAGTTTTATGTAATTGTCTCAAAGATTTGTAAACACTATCAATGGAATGAACAAACTAATAAATTACTCATTTTTATCCCATTATAAAACATGTACGTCGGAAGAAACAATGGGAAGGATAGAAAGAAATTGCGTGTCCCATTTAAGGGTCAAAGGTCACATTCAATAATTGTATGATCCATGCAGAAAAGGAAATTGACTGCAAAAAAAAGTTTTCTTCCAACATGTTACTGAAATATAGAGCATATAGCAAAAGATCTCATTTTGTGTCCTCGAAAATCTGCACAATATGAGTTTTTCTTTTAATGAAAAGACCTGTAATAATACTGATGCTGTTTGATTACAAAGAACTATGTGCATTTACAAATATCATGATCACACTCAATGTTTTTAATTTAACTGTTTTACTGAACACCACATGTAGTACCATCATGAAAGACATACATTTCATTTCATTTCATTTCATTTCATTTCATTTCATTTCATTTCATTTCATTTCATTTCATTTCATTTCATTTCATTTCATTTCATTTCATTTCATTTCATTTCATTTCATTTCATTTCATTTCATTTCATTTCATTTCATTTCATGAGCAGTAGTATCAACAATTAAAATATGCAACTAAATTTTATCCAATCAGACTTCAGTTTTAGAAATTTGACACGTTGAGATGATTCGTTACTATCGTGTTTTTTTTTTCCTGAACATCATTTTGTTTTAAATTTTACTGTCAAGAGTAACTGGTCTGAATCAATGTTTCTTTGTGGGGTTATTTCATTTTGTTTTTAGTTACGAGTCATTTTGTTGTTTGTTATTAGAGCAAAGTTAAGTTGAAACTTCAGGCAAAATTGAGATGACGAAATGAACATTTTACAATTTTATACATTTCACAATATTTGTATAATTTGATGGTGCTTAATTGAGCTCTGTGTATTTTTTTCTTATATCTTTTTATTCAGTTGCCTGTTTTTTGTTGGTACCCTTGTACAAGTGACCATTTAGAGCACGATTTATTCCTCAAACAGTGATTTTGTTGCATATTCCAAAAATTCTACAACGTTTTGCTATTTGGTTTGACAAAAAGGCTTGTTTTGTTTGACAAAAAAAACATGACTATGCAAGCCTTGTAAATTGGTTACATAACAATTAGGGTAAGGTTTCTATAGGTAGTCATGTGAGTCAAAATTTTTGGCAAACGTCAGGCCTAAATTACAAGTGACAGTCAGTGAGATAGGTGCAAACACCAGCAACAATGCTTGTGACATTATGCATCAATTAAACATAATTGCGTTATCGGGCCATTGATCGTCATTTTGGGTCTGGTAATATTTTACTAGACATGAAATATTGGGATTGATCTTTGAAGATGAATAAATTACAGCCATCTTTAGCAAATATTGGAATCGATTTGAAATATGGACATATAATAGACATGATCTCCGAATTGGCTTAGATCAGAAATGCTGAATGATCTCCAACGGCTGTTACATGAAGAGACAACACAGTTTCTTGTAATACCTCCAATTATTCGAGGTGCAGACGAAATATTAGTAACACAGAGGCAATCAGTAGGCCTGACTTACTTGGAGACCTATTTAATTCAATTCAAGTGTAATCGTATCGTGTCATTAGTGGATCTTGCAACAGTCGTCGGTGTCAAACGATCGACAAAAACTTATCCAGTTATATGCAAAAGCCACGATTGCAACAAAGGATTTTTTTTACCGATAATTACCATATCGATCAATGCGCGCACTCCCCGGACCCGCCAGCGCATCTGCCCCGCTTCCCATCGCCCCAAACAGACACTCCGCGTACCCGCCAGAAACACAGCTCACAAAATAACCCTGGAATTCCCATGGATTATGATCGGAAAACCTCGAGTTTTTGAAACTCTTGACGTGATTTCCAGACGGGAACCCTTCTTCAAACCTTCTGCTGTGTTCTTGCGATGGATATTTATCGGTCATCTTCTTTAAGAATCTCGCCAGTAAGCTAAGATGAGGAAGATGTCTTGGTGCAGCCCGGCTATTGTGCTGTGTCTACTTGTGACGGGAGTCTTTGCGTTATTCGGTAAGTTAGTTTATCATTCAGATTGATGAAATTAAACACTAAAAGAAAGTATTGCATCTTAAATGTTCGTTTACTCTTTATCTGACTTTTTTTGGGGGGGGGGGAGCAAGTTAATACTTGGGAGGAGAAAGGTGGGGCTTTACGAAACAATCCGGCCCTAGTTCTAGAAGCGCCATGATTATTGGTCGTCTTCTGATGAGATCCTTCTCAGTATAGTTGGGCCTAAAAGAGCAGAATTTCAAAGTTTCGTTGAGACTTTTAGGATTGAATGTTTGTCTTGTCTTGTCATGTCATCAGAGTAATCATAACATTTTACATACAAAAGAAATTATATTTGAATTGATTCGATATATTAAAAAGTGGACAAATATATGTATAGGGCCTATGTAATTTTTTTTAACCTATTCCATGCTTTGCCTGTAATTATTGTGTGATTTTGATATAGAAATACATGCGTGCTTATTTTTAGAAGTTTGTTATAAAGAAGTTTGGGAATCATTACTCGAATATTTTTATTTTGCCGACTCCGAAACTGTTACAAATCTGAGGAATACAAAGGAAACGACCCTACATACCTTTTTATTATATCATCGCCGATTTTGTCTTTCGTGCCGAGCCTCTCTGAGTTTGCCTATGATGTCGTGCCGACGTTGTACCACCAAGTTTATTATTTATTTTAAACGTATATCGGAAACAGAATTCGCACAAACTTACACATTTTCGACGCAGGGTCAAGAAAAGGTTTTAGATTGTTAAAAAAAAAACGCATCCATTCGTGGACAGAAACGTCGAATATAATGGTCGTAATTACAAAACGCTTTGTCCGATAAATGAACTAAAACCTTGCATACATAAATATAACTTACTTTAGTAAGTTTTTCACATTTCCCAACCAACACAATAACAATGAAGACGGAGAGCTGTTTTTATAGACTGAAATATTAGTACTGCGGTTGAAGACATTCGGAAACTATTTTCTGTAGAAGTCTGCCACATTTTCATAGCTGCTTGATTTTCTTGCTTCCTTTTATAGATGAGGACATCCGATATAAGCCATCGATTTGCAGAAGAAAAGTGAAGTCGGAGTGCGATCTCGGGATATGCGAAAGGTAAAGTCGCAGTGTGTATAACATTACTAGCTACAAGAAAGAAAGCACCCTAAACTTTTGGTTATCTTTTAGAAGTACTATATATAGAATCACGAGTTTGAATGTTAAACGGGCTTTTCTTCATATCCCGAAGCCACAGTTGAAAACAACGCAACAAGTGTAACGTTAACATTTTTTATTTTATCGCATTTTCAAGATTGGTATTTGTTTTCATGGTAAAGAAAAGAAATGAAAACTCGAGGTGACGTGAAAAGACAAACCCATCCGACACTTTGCGACTTCGTTGTCATTAAGAAGTTATTTTGAGGGGGTTGTATTTTATTCTGCTAAATATCATGTGTTATTTTGTGCCAGCTAGTATCATCTTAAATTACATTTCTTTTTTATAGGTCAAGAGATTCAGGATTTAAAAAAAAATCATACGATCTATTCATATTTCATCGTTTTCTTTCGATTTTCTTGTAACTTTAAAGTCTATGCAGTAGCTTATAGGTACTTCTCAATTTTTTTTAGTTCATCAAATTAAATATTTTTGGGAGAAAAATTTGCATTTTTTTTAAAATATATATTACCGTTAAGAAACTGTAATGGGCTAAATATATTGAATGTTGCACTACATAACACGACCGAGGGTGTAGATTATCGATCTTTGGTCAAAATGCAGTTCTTATAGTTGTGCAACAAAAGCCCCAGCCACCCAACTCATCGATTCCTTGCATAGTTTGATACGACGACAACGAAGCAACGGGATCGATAGCACTATAGTCGAGATCACAGTGTAACACTTTAAAGGGATGTACAATATTTGAGAGGTTTCAGTTTCTTCAAGTACCACTCAAATGCCCATAATTCTTCGGTGTCATCATTTTATTGATGACACCGAAGAATATCGAATCAACTTTGAACGATGTACGTCCACGCCTTAAGGGTGTGGCACTTAGAAATACAAAAACGATTTTGATAAATTTTGAAGCTTTACAAAGAGACAACGCATTAAAATCGGCTTTCGACAGTAAATTTTAGTAAACAATTATTGATTCAAATTGAAATTAGGAGAATCCCGCAAAACTCAAAAGATTTCTGTGTGATGTCATCAGTTTTCTTTGTAAAAGCTAATTCATCACCATACAACCCCAGCATGGGGGAAGTTTGCGGCTATAATGCCAGTTAGAAATGAGTAACTCCCATCTGTAGTTTTTTCTAATAAGAAGAACAAACTCGACGTCATCCTACTTGCCAGCATGCAGTACAAGATGATCATTATCTCGCACTTACTTTCCTTTGTTTTCACAGAGATGTGGAGATAGAGTGTTACCATGGTGTTTGCTCTAACCACACGGGAGAGTGCGTCTGTGCTCCGTGCTGGACGGGAGATCGCTGCGATAGTCTCCGTAAGTAAAATGTTTGGTATAACCGATGGCGTTTGTTCAAATTCAACATAATAATGTCCTCATTTGATATATACTGTTTCCAAAGGTGGAAAAATGGAGGCCAAATGTTCTATTTTTATTGAATACATCATTGAAAGCTGAACTCCGCCTCGCCTTGCGATGAAAACCAAATGCTATAAGTTTTAAGCCAAACAGTTAAACTTGGTTGAAAGTTTGGAAAAGGTCATCAAAACTGTGAATAAAGTCAGCATATGGTGTATGGTAGCAAGCGTGGAAAGGCCACGAAATATGAGTTATATAGTACGGCAGATTGGTGATGGGGTTGTGCCTTTGATGATACAAGCATGGTATTTGGCACACAGTAAGAGTATGTCATGAGAAAGATATTTGGCTATAGGGCCATCGTAGATTTGTCCTTTGAAAAAATATAGGTAGGAACAAGCAATGGCAGCCATTTTGAAAATTTGACATACTCTGACTGTGTGCCAAATTCCATGCTTATATCATCAAAGGCACAATTCCCACACATGTTTCCCTATCTGCCGCACTATACCTAATATTTTTTAAAACAACATATATTGTATAATAGTTTCTTTTTTCCCTTGAATTTATCAGACTGAGCCTTTAAAAGAGATCGATTGGTTTTGTTGTTGTCTTCCTCGCCAAGGTTTCTCTGTTTGATCAAAGATTTATGAAACTCTCCGTCCCTAGTTCTTATTGATCAGGACACGTCCTTCAAACACCGCCCAGCCAGCCAAAATAGACTAGCCATTTGGCGCGATGAATAATTAATTTGCGAATTGATTTGAATCATTCAAATGATGGCGGAGTAATATCGTGAGATGGCAGTGTACAAACAAACGACTTTTCACCGCAGGGAACGGTAATAAAAGTAGTGAGTGTTTTTCTAATTGGCAATATGATGAAATGACAAAATGGGTATTCTTTCAATTCTAACAGCGCGAGCTTTTTGTTGAGTTTCTTAAAGTATCTCGTGTAAGTCAAGATTTCGCTTTGTAGCCCTATACATCATTAACTTACAACGATATACTTTTTCTTGAGATGCATTCACGACAATGCCAATTTCAGATTATCTGCTATAATAATTGTCTTTTTGATTGGCCTACCCTTTTCGTACGAAGGAAACTTCTTCTTTTTTAAATCCTTGAAAAGAATAGGCCTATTGGGCAAGACGGTTTTCTCAATTGTCTGATAGTGAAGCTTGTGTTTTTCATTTCGATTAAGTCTCGGAACACCCTGGTAGCAGGTTTATAATTATTTTCGTGGCTTATGTTTTTAATGTTTGATCTTGTTGAACAGAAAACTCACACGTGCCAGTGTTTAAACAACAGACAGTTAAAGTTGACGTGAATATCAGAGACAGTTATAGCGATGACGTCATCGCCACAGTGCGGGCGGAGGACCCAGATGCGGAAGAGTGTTCTTACTCGGACAGCTGCCCATGTGCGAATATTCTATACTCCATCGAGGAGGGGAATGAAGACTCACTATTCATGATCGATCCCAGGAGTGGGGAGATACGACTGTCTCGTGGACTCGAGTTAAAAGACTTGCAGGATGCTGTGTTCGAATTGGTGGTTTCTGCCAAGAACCCAGTGCACCGAACACGTGTGAGAAGGAGGTTGGTTAACACTGTTGATGAGCCAAGTGATAAAGCAGCCTCCACCATGGCGGTGCGGATTTCTTTCTCAACTGGGGACAAGGTTGAAGCTGAAGTTGTACATTCCAGGCGAAGACGATCGGTAAGCATTTAGTTAACCCAGCATATCCAGACAGGGCTCTGGAGTGCTCTGAAACGTGCAAAACTAAAATCAGGCCCACCTTACTTACAGTTTAGCCAGCAAATTTCTCCAAAAATTCTACTGGGCAAAGAAACAGTCCACAGTATTTCACCAACCGAGTTTGCAGACTCCATTCAAGTTTTAAAGGAGACTTTTCTTCAATATTTTGTACATGAGAGGGAAGTCATCAAGTGATTTCAAAATGAGGCTAAAGACTAGACTGGTACATGTCCATTGTCCAACTATTGGAAAAGACTGACCTCTTCATTCAATGTCAATAGTCTGGTGGCTGTATTATTGAGGAATGCGTAGTACATTGAGACTAGTTCCCAGCAAGGGCGGATCCAGAACACAATTTTGGGGGGGCCAAAAAAAATTTTGGTCCCCCCAAAAAGTGGGTCAACAAAATTACGGCGTGGGGTTCGGGGCCCGCTTAAGGGCCCCGAAAATTTTTTGGATTCTAGATGCTCTGTGGTGCGATCTGAGGCAATTTCTGACCACTTTAAGGCAAAAAAAAAAATAAGTCGGTCTCTGGTCAGCGCGCGCGTCGATTTTAATCGTGCGCGTCGATCTTTTTTTTTTCCAAAATGTTCCGACAGCGCCCTCTATTTCCGCACCTCTTCAATTTTTTTTAACAAAGAGCACCAAGAAATGGGAAATTGCACCAAGGCAAATGATCGAAAGCACCAAGGCAAATTATGGAGGACACCAATGTACATGAGGACACCAAAAAAGCAAAATAGTACCCACCTTGTCTGTACAATCCAAGCTTGAAGAAAAAAAAAAAAAGCCGCGTGGCCGCGTCAATTCCGGAACTTTGGTCTGACCAGAGACCGAATATTTTTTTTTTTTTGGCCTAACCAATGTTTTTTTTTGAGGAATAGATGGTGGTGTACTCATTGCCTGCCTTTATTGCGATGTCAAAAATTGGGTCAAAAAAATTACGGCGTGGGGTTCTGGGCCCGCTTAAGGGCCCCGAAAAAATGTTGGATTCTAGATGCTCTGTGGTGCGATCTGAGGCAATTTCTGACCACTTTAACCAATGTTTTTTTTTGAGGAAAAGATGGTGGTGTACTCATTGCCTGCCGTTATTGCGATGTCACATAAAAAAAAAAAAAATGATTTCGTTTTTTGGGGGGGCCATGGCCCCCTTTGGCCCCCCCCCCCGGATCCGCCCTTGGTTCCCAGTTCATGCCACGTGTTTCTTAAATTCTTTTGGCACAGTTGATGGATGCAGTACTGAAGCTGTGTTGGAATGGTTGCTTTAGGTGCCAGTCTATTTTCTTGTATTGCACGTTTTCAATACCTTAAGTTTTGGGACTCTCATACACAGTACCGGTATTGAGAGTCCAAAATTGTTGGACTAATATTACCTCAGCTATATTTATGTTGACCAATTATTGTTTCGTATAAACTCTTGTCAAAACATCAAAAATATTTGTCTGTAAACATTCCAGCGAATCTGAATTAGGCCGGTCGAAAGCTCAAACGATCGACGCTTGTTTCCGTATTTGATTTCTAAACATCTCAATAACCAGAGTTCAATTTTATCGAGCATCAATTTTTTATAAGATGGCATTTTTTGCGTCGGTGTGATATAAATCAAATTAGGTTTTGCCCTTCACCGACGTTTATTAATTTTAGTAAAAAGTTATTGCCCCCACAAAGGTGTATCCTAAACTTCAAGAAATTTGACTAGTGTTAGTTTGTAGCAAAGTTGAAACGCTGTATGGTGACTGCACTGACGGCGCTTGTACCAGAGGTATCCATAAAGGTCACAAAAACTCTGCATGAATAACTTCGCAGTCAATGGACCTTCCAATTTTCCCAATTCTTTTAATTCCCATTTTCTTATTGCTTTATGAAAAACAATTTAATGTCACATAATGTGACGCCAACTTCCACTTATTTCATTTCATGCGATAAGCACCAATTATAGGTTGTGGTGTCTTTAAAGAAAATGAAAGGAAAAAACCTACAATTTGACATTATTCAACTGACCTTTGGCAGACGAGTGGCGTCCCGAGCGAAGAGACCTTCACCTTGGAGAAACTCTCCCCCTTCACCGGCGTCACGGACGTCAAGATCGGGGAGAAGGTCCCCCTCCGTCTGGTCATCTGGTTACCGGTCCAATCAACCAACATGAGAGTTGAGCTGCTTACACCGTACGAGTCTAGCGCCATCATGGTGGTATGCGATCCGCTCTTCACCCACATTGGTGCTAACTACCCATCGTTTGATGGCAGTAGCGTGACGCCGGAATATTATGCTCACGCTGGGGACTTTAGGGTGAGTAGGCCTATAGAGAGCATTAATTTCTTATTCGACTCTACAGCACGTCCCAAAATACCCGCAACATTTTTTTAGCGAGGCTCTAGCGTCGCCGCGGAAACACGTACCGCCATTAATTTTATATCATTTTAAAGCTTGGAATCTTAACTTTACCCCTGGTAAGTATTGGTTTGATTTTTTAAAAGGGTTTCGAAATTATTTGTGTTCAAATAAAAGCATGTCAAAACAAACTCAACCGATTTCAAGGAAAATCATGCGCATTTCTTTTTCTAATGTGGAAATGCTTCATCATGTTGATGATGTGACGATCTCGTTGCCTTTTACTTTCTGTGTTTCCTATTCTTTGCGATCCACGTAGACTACACCCTAAATAAATTCACAATATTGTTCTTCGTTTGTCTGAGTCACTTTTGAAATTCACGTGCAAGTATGTATACCTATTCAAAAAGCGCGCTCAAAGTGTGACTCGAGTTTGCATCTGATGTACCGTATCATCAATTTTCCTTGAAATCGGTTGAGTTCGTTTTCGACATGCCTTTATTTTGAACACGAATAATTTAAAAACTATTTCAAATATCAAATCATTACTCGCCAGGGATAAAGTTAAAATTCCAAGCTTCAAAATGGTATAAACAATAATTGCGGTATACGTGTTTCCGCGCCGACGCTAGAGCCTCGCAAAAAAGTTTGCGGTATTGTGGGACGCACTGTAATAATCAAACCGTGTTTCCATACAAATTCAACGAACAGATACTTTGATTTCGTACCACAACATCGTTAGGCTAAATAATGCAAGTTCCTCCAACTGATTTCATAATAAAGGGTGCTGCATGATGTAACGAATACTGCATTCTAATCAGTCCTAATTTTGGTGAATGGGTCGCATGTGGCGTTTGCCGTTGTATTGAAAAAGAAAATTCTATTTTGAGATCACTTTAAGCACTTTTTTTAGTTACTTGCGAAAAATTGGATTCTTAAAAATTCCAATCCTATGAAAGCACATTTGTCTCTGGATTGACAAGGAGAAATGAATTTGCTTTTTCAATAAAGCACCGATCGCCACATGTGACGAGTTTACCGAAACTATCAGACAAAATAGAATGAAATCTTTTGGTCGAAATTTTAAACTGAAAACTCAAAACAAAATCAAGTATTGTTCTATCAATTTGTAAAATGCCTTACAGTAACTGGGAAAATATCTCACAAATTGTAGGCATTCCTGTCAAGTTGAACAACTTTTTTTCGTGATTCCAACTTACAGTACGACCGCGTGGTACTCGACCTTGGCTCCGTCACCAACACGGGTTCAAACACCGCCGATGATGTCCCCAACAAGATCCATTTGGATTTCACCGTGATTCTGCAAGAGAATAACGCCACGAAGTACGGGGATAGCTACATGGTGTCGGCAGGTGTCTCCTACGGTAGTGACTTGTCCAGTGTGTGGTCTGGAGGAACGACATTTACTCCTGTTAATGATACAGGCGATTGGGTAAGAAGACTAGATGTTGATTTACCGAATATGTTTTCATTTCTTATCGGATGTGGAATTATAATATTGAACTAATTAATCAAAATTAAATCTGGCAGGGAAAACCTAACAAAGGACTAAGGCGAGACAGAACTGAAAATTGGATTAAAATCATTAAAATCAACATTTTATAATGTGTGTTTGAAAGTAATCTTCTGCAGATAAAATGAAGACTTACGGGAAATTTGTTTCTTAATTTATTAGATAAGGTTGAAGTTTACCTCTGGCGTTAATAAAAGATAAAAATGAATAACTTCCTTATACAACCACGATTGAAACCCACAGAAAACAAAATTTGTTATTTTTTTTGTATTTATTTATTTGCAGTCTTATTTAAACAGGGTGGTCTCCTTAGTAAAAAAAAAACTGCTTTCCTTGAGGGCCCTGTAAAAAAAAATGACAAATGAAAAAAAAATTAAAACTATAAACCAATTAATACCAAAAAAAATTTAAAAAAAAATAAAAATCATTCTGAGGTCTCAGGGAAGAAAAAAAAGTAAACAAAAAAAGATTGTAGTGACAAATAAATTCAATAGTATAAAGTTAAATAAATAGATCATTAAAATTAAAAAAACGCAAACTAAATTCCTTTTTTTTTCTCAGTCGACGAGTTCTCCAGTTTTGACCATCTCTGGCCCGAGTGAGATGACGACCCAGAGTTCCGCCATCTTTAACATCGACCTGGTGCTCAAGAATTATGTCACCGACTTCTACGTGGACATAGTGGCCGAGCAGTATTCAAACGACCCCGTTATGAAGGTCTGCGAATTCCAACTTACCGGAAAAGGTAGGTTTTTTTGTTTTCCCCAAAACATGCTTAAGCAATACAACACTTACCAAAGGGATACGCCTCTACGTAGCCAATGAATTAACAATACCAAATCGTTACAAGAGCTTTTTCTCAATTTCGTTCGTGATGTTCCATTCTTTTTTTTAAATAAAGCTTCAATTGATAAAATAATTAAATAAAAAAGAAAAAGTTACTGACTAAGAAAATTAGAAACTCCTTCAACAAGATTATATTTATATAGAGAGGTCTCTATAAGAATGCTTCTTCAGGTGATAAGTAAACTGACTTTAAGGAAGTTTCATTTTGCGAATTTTGATAAGTAAACTTCAAAAAGACATCCTTTTCCGCTTGACACACAATGATGTAAAAGACTCCTCAGGCCATTCCCTACCTTAACAAACTTTTAATACGTATTCCAAAGCAAAATGTTGTACTCTTTATTTGTACCTGATCCAGAAATTTGTTAGTGGTCTGAGGATTTGTTTAACGAGTTGTCATGATTGCTTCTTTCAGGTGGTAGCTACGGTTGCATGCCGGACGAGCTTCCCCAGATTTCCTCAGTTCACGACAACACGACCGACGATAACGCAACCGTCTTGGCAAGATTAGACTTCGGCAAAATCGTCAACACAGGTAGGTTGCGAATGCAGATATTCTTACACTTTTATAAGTGGGGGAGAGGGAGGCTAAAAGACCCGTGTCTGACCACGGAGCACAGCCAGAGTTTTGTCTGCAAAGTTATTGTCAACTTCGGATTTATGTCCTGTTTTAGATACGCCCTTATGCAAATGTAATAATAGTGATACTTTAAGGCCGTCCCTTTCTTACCTTGCCCTGCGTTTCAATTGAACTCCAAAGGCGTCAACATGGACGTGATGCTAGATGAGATCACAAAATATAAGTTACTTGACACGCCAGAACGCATAGTTTTATCATCTGTTATCCTCATTTTTTAAAGTGACATTCCTTGCCCTCGAACTGAGAGGAAAAAATTGGCGATTCTTAACCTTGATTAACTTAATTTCTTTTTTTATCATTTAATTTTGCAAGATTATAAATTCACAGTAATATAGTTTAAAGAGATACATCAAAATTACGTCAAATAAAATACACTCTTAAAAACTAATAATCATACAGAAAATACAGTAACAAGAACCTTACATTAAACAAGTACACGCCCCCATTGGGATCATGGGCAAAGAGTGAACCAATCACCATCTAGTAATAATAGTATAGCTCTCCTGGCGAGCAATAACACGTTGAAATATCACAAAAATACAGAAAAAATCACAAACTTTAGAACAAAATTGACGATACATCGACTATCCTGATGTTTCATAATGATTTTTTAAAGGTCTACGTGATGGCAATAATGGCGACGACGAAAATAAAATTTCTACGGAAGCTGTGGTGTACATCACCGACAGCTCGGACATCGTAAACGGGGAGAAATACTGGCTGGGCGTGACAATCACGGTAGATGGGTCCAAGATATACTCCAACCAGCAGGCTATAATGGCGCTTACTACACCAGCACCCAACATGGTAAGCACCCTTATGCATGGTCCTTGACGCTTTAAATAATTAATCATTTTGTGATTGAATGTTATTCATTTTTTTTATTTCACAGACCACTCCCCAAAAAGAAACAAATTAGCTTGTACTAAAGAGCTAAGTACAAAGGTTAATTTGTATTCTCATGGCTGAATAAACTGTTCAATGTTTGCACCAAGTTTCAAGTAAAATCAAATGTACCGATTACAGGAAACTAAACATTTTGATGACCACGCACAGATTAGCACACCCACAGAAAACCTTTTTTAAGTATCGCAATGACAGCATTTTTTGCTTATTGTGAGGTCTCGATCTCGGTCTCGAAAATCGATTTCTTGTATTTTTATGTCTTGAAGCCATTTTACACGATCTAACGTTTCAAACCTCCATAGGCCACTAGTGGCCCACAACTGAGATGCACCACAATGAACACAACTTTTAGCCTTTACACATTCAACGACGAGAACAGAAAGTAATGCATAAAAGTAATCGTTACGACCAAAAATTGACCGAGAAATTTGTTCCAGATGTTAAATTTTCTCGAAAGGTATTGGGCCGGAAACTTGTTTTGTGCATAGCCTTACTAACAAGTATTCACAACCATTTATAATTTGCCCTGAATGTATCATTTCAAGATTTAAAGACCAGAACTATTCAGAATTCACTGATTGGTTTCCACAGACCGCTGATCCAGTGATAGAGTTCTACGCAGTCGACGGCTACACCGTGACTATCGGGGGCACCGTTGGCTTCGTCATCAGCATCGACATCCCGGAGAATATCACCTCTGTCTTCATCGTGGACCTGTCCATGCCTTACACAACCTCCAACGGGGCTATCCTGTCCATCTGCCGGGCTGAGGTGGTTCAAGTTGGACATAACATTCCCTGCATGGGGAGCATGACGCCTGAATTCAACCAAGAGGTTTGTATTGGATTTCAATTTTCCAGCATTTGTAACCCTAAATTTCTTCAACTTAATTCCACCAATCTAATTGTTATAGTTAACATTGAAAAGCGCCAAAGATGTGTTTTACTATTGGAAGGGGATAATCACTTTGTTGCTGTTAATAAAGTCTATCAAATTTAAGTTGATGGACTGGCAGTTAACAAATTTAAGTTTCAAGATAGAAATTAAATGCCTATAAACATCGTTACATACAAGTTGAAAGTTCTCAGTGATCAATTCTCAATTCTTGGTATCACTCTTGATGATAGTTACAGATATAGTACATATTTACTTTTAACTTGTTTCTCTAAATGACCGAATTTCCTCTGTCTTGTTATTTCAGCATTAATCTCATCTCATACATTATATTAACATTTCAGGATGGCCAACACGCAGACTACATACAGTTCAACTTTGGAGGCATCACCAATCTAGGCCGGCGGCACCAGACTGATGACAGTAAGCTAACGGTATTGATAACCGCCGAGCTGTTGGCCGAGCACCCTGACGTCTCGAACGGAACAGAGTTTGAAGTAACAGCCGGCGTCCGCTACGAAATGTCCGACAAGGACATACTGTGGGTGTCCAAAGCACCAATCACAGCCGTGGATTACCAACATCATGAATATTTAGACAGTGATAAGGTAGGCAGGCAATGTACTAATTTCCCTTAATTTGTAAGAGTTGTAATCAAGTCATCACAAGGCCATCACAAGACAATCACATGGCAATCTCAAGACAATCACAAGGCAATCACAAGACACTCACAAGAAACTCACAAGACGATCATTACACAATCACAAGACAACCATAAGACACAAGACAATCACAATACAATCACATGACGATCACAAGACAATCAAATGGCAATCGCAAGACAATCACAAGGCAATCACAAGACGATCATTACACAATCACAAGACACTCACAAGACAATCACAAGACAATCACAAGAATATCACAAGACAATCACAAGACACTCACAATACAATCACAAGACAATCATTAGACAATCACAAGGAAATCACAAGTCATCCAGTCTCAAATAAAGTGATAACATTTTCAAGTGACGTAAGGCGCGGCAGGTTTATCCCGATACCTGTGCCCTTACTAGAGATTTGATTTATGATTGACTTGCGACTCACGTATGATAGACTTGTGACTCCTTAAGGATAATTTCGATTGACTTGTTATTAAACTGATAACAACTCTGCATTGGTCATTTAAATAAGAAAATATAGCCACAAATGTCATGTCGTTTGTAACATAATGACATTAAAAAAGACACCTAGTTCATTTCAATAATATGCAGTTTTCCACCTTGTTACATTTTTGTCTTTAGATACCAAAGTTCAAGCTACGAAATCGTGGTAAAGATTACTATCTGTACAACAACTCCGCTGTCTCCCTGAACATCACCGTAACCATACCTCCCGAGACTACCTATACCCCGGTCCTCCTCAACATCACCGCCGGTCGAGGAGCCACGGACCGCCGGCCGATGTTCAGCATCTGCCGGGTCGAGGTGGTCGAGATCGGATCCAACTTCTACTGCCACAACCTCGACAAGACCTCCATTACCAACGTCTCGATGGTAGAGGGCGTGGCGTACGAATACCTGGTGGACCTGGGTGTGGTGACCAACAGCCTGGAGGCGGGAATGCAGAAGGACCCGGATGACGGTTCGTTTGTTGTGGAAGTTAATCTCCACTGGGAGGACCACGTGGAGCTTGTTCACATGGAGAATGTCACCTTGACGGTTGAGGCCACGTACGGTCCCAGCGGGACTTGGCATGGCTCCATGGATTATATCATCAACTTCGATCGGCCAGAATTCCGGCAGGTAAGAACTTTTTTTAAACTTTTCAATTTTTTTCCTAATTGAAGCGATCGTTATGTATTTAAAATCACCAACTGCAAATGTTCAGTTGGTTACGAAAGAAACATAGAGACTACAAAATAACCGAAATTGATAAGTAAAGTCTGTGTTGTTTGGTTTTGTACCAGGACGACGACGCGCCGCAATTTGACTTGACTCTGGGGCCGAGCCAGAGCAGTTTCTTACGGGCAGGTGGTCTGGCCGTCTACTACCTCTCGGTCTTGACCCCGCCCAATTCAGCCGGTACCTACTGGATGGACGTGGTGACGCCCAACAGCAGCCTCAGTGTTTGCCGGTCTCACTTGGTGTCAGCCGGGCGTAACCTGCCGTGTTTTGAGACTGAGCGACCCGTGCAGTATCTGTCCTACGAGGAGGACGGACATCGAGATAGAGCCGTGCTGGATATTGGTCCCGTGAAAAACATTGGTAGGTGGAATCAATTAGGTCATTTGCTGCTGATGAAAATCAACAGAAAGTAATTTCATTTAGATTAATTTCGATTTAAATTGGTGAATTTACTCTTACATTTCAAGGAAGAAAATACACAAAGGCCAATTTCGAGTGAAAATCATTCAATATTAGATTTAAAAACTTTGAAAAAAAGATTAAATTCCGTCATAACTCGATCTTTTCCATTGAATGAATCTAAAACGTCTTGTTCCTAGTGTCGGTTGGATGAAGGGAATTTTCTCCATTCGAAAACAAGAGACTTTTTGAAATGCCTGTACGCCAAAAAAATATAACTGGCCAATTTACTGGTCCCTTGGTTGAAAAATGTTATATTTGATGTAATATTTCTGTATAATGTATTGGACTGTGGTTGAATACCCTACTCTTCGAACCCTAACAGTTTGTGTGATATTGGCCAAATTGCGTGTCCTTTGGAGTAGTGATGTACCCTTTTGTTTCAAAGAGAGTACGACGAAAGAATCAGTGTTTGTAAGTTTCGCAGCATCAGCCACTTCGTTCTAATCGAAGTGGTTGATGCTTGAAAACGTTCACATTTTTAACTTTGAGACGTTTACTGTCCCCAACGCCGATCCTTGCAGGCACTAAGCCCATCCTCAACGCTGATGACAATAAGATGGTAGCGGAGGTAGTAGTGAAGCTAGAAGACATCGCCGTGCCTCCAGACAATCTGACTGAGCCAGAGGTACAGGAATTCGAGTTGACGGTCAAGGCAGGGGATACGGAGCTTTACACGGTGCCGAAGGAAGTCCATGTTGATGTCAGACCAGCCTTCACTAATTTCGTAAGTCCATGTTTGAAAAAAATAACCATATAACCTTTTTATCTCAAGAAATAAAGGCCGACAAACGATGAAAGAAATTAAACCATAAACGCCACAAGAACTCAACGTTGAAGCCAAATCAAAGGTCCACATTTTTTTCATTGAAATGTTGGGTCATATAAGTCAGAGTCGGAAACCTAATGAAACGAAGAGTAAATATGACAAGAGCTTTGAAGCAACTGCTTAAAACCGATAAAACATTACCAATATTCATTGACACTTTTCATAGCCAATGCATGATTATTATAGACCTAAACCCTTTTCGATTTTGCAAGGATATTTGCTTTTGCATGTGATACTTACCTGTTTCAAAAAATTCAATGTAGGCATTTAGTGTAACCCCTTTTTCGGGTTTTCATCCCTTTTCACAAAACTTATTATACCTATTTTCTTACAGACTGAGATACCCGTAGTGACATTGACTAAGTTGAACGCTGAGCCTTTGGTCACCATTGGTGGAGGTGTGGTCTACAACTTGGATTTCTACGTTCCATACGGGTCTATATCTGATTATCAGGTAGGCATTATTTAAAACACAACAACAAAAAATTGCGATGTCATAAAACGAAGCTGTAATTGGATGACATAATTATTTCAGATGACAGTAACTCATTAGTTATATCTGAGTGTCTATAATCATGTGTAACAATACTAATGGTGTTTTTAATAATAATTTCGTTGATTACTTATGAATATTGTATGACGACAATTCCTAAACAGAAAATTAGTATGGACACGCCCCTTTATATTCTTGTCCCACCCATGATCCAATTTGAGAAAAACGGATCTTCTTTGTAGTTCGTCCCCAGACCACGTCCATGGCGAAACAGGCAAAGATGGGCGAAGTAAAGTAGGACTGCATGGAGTTGGCGGGCAATTGTTAAAACAGGATTGGTGTTAGGAATTTATCCGAGTAATAAAAGTTAAGAAAGAGTGAGAACTTAAAACGAAAGTTTTTACAGGTGACATCTATGATATTCTCCGCGATATTGTCACATCTTTTCTCAATAGTTTCTTCGAGCTTTTTAAGGTGCTACACAAATTTCTCCAGCCATGAGAGTCGACGACCCACGATGGATTACCAATATTAACTGCGCAATTGATTTCTTTTCCAGGTCCGATTTTTCGGTGATCGAGTCGACCCTTACCGGACGACTATATGCGAGGCTAGGCTGATCCAGACCGGATGGAATGTACCCTGTGTCAACGGAACATTCCTAACTACGATCTACAACTCTACCAATGACGATGACCACATTGATACGGCCTTTATAGACGTCGGTACAGTCGCTAATATGAATCCATATGGATCAGTGGTGGCGTCTGAACTTAATAAGGTAAGAAACTTCAATTTTGTCCAAGCATTTGGCAAATACTGCAAAATAATTTTAGTTTAAAAGAAAATTGAGGGCATATTAAAAGAAAAGATCTGTTTAATGATAAATACTTTTAAAGCCATACCATTGAGAGATAGCTTTTTACTGAATAAATATTAAGACTTCAAGCCAACGCATAATATTTAACTACACGAAATCATTCCATTTCATGATCCATTCAATTATGCAAATCAGGTCAGAGTTCAAGTGGTCGCCCGCCTAGAGAACAACGACACCGTCATGGAGAATGATCAGCTATGGTTGGGTGCGGTGCTGAAGCTCAACGAGCACAATGAGTACTATCTCAGGGCCTCCTTCAATGCCACCGAAGACAACATTTACTCCGAGGTTGGTTTATATAAAAAAAACTTCAACATTTTAAATGGTAGATGTAGGCCTATTTCCATTGATGCAGCAAGTTCAACTATTTTCATGTTTTAAATTAACAGAGTCAAAGTATATATTTTTGTTACTTATCAATGTAGCTTCCATGAAAAGGGCCAGTTAGCTAAAATGAATATAGCACCAAAATGATTCAGTAAAGGTACAAATTGGAAAGGTTTTCGTAGCAACAACAGCATACAATGAAGAAAGATATATGGTGGAGTTTATATGACGTCTAAGGCTGAAAAAAAATATTCGGTCTCTGGTCAGACCAAAGTTCCGGAATTAACGCGGCCACGCGGTTTTTTTTTTTTTTTTTTTTTTTTTTTTTTCTTCTTCAAGTTTGGATTGTACAGACGAGGTGGGGTACTGTTTTGCTTTTTTGGTGTCCTCATGTACATTGGTGTCCTCCATAATTTGCCTTGGTGCTTTTGATCATTTGCCTTGGTGCAATTTCCCATTCCTTGGTGCTCTTTGGTAAAAAAAAAATTGAGGAGGTGCGGAAATAGAGGGCGCTGTTGGAGCTACCGCGGAACATTTTGGAAAAAAAAAGATCGACGCACATGATTAAAATCGACGCGCGCGCTGACCAAAGACCGACTTATTTTTTTTTTTTGGCCTAACGGTGATATCTTTTCTTAAAAATGATGATGATTGTTGTACAAAGACAATAGTCATTTCATTGGAATTCAATTGGAGCTTAAAAAAAATGCTAAAATGTTCAATTTGCAAATTTGCTACTCTCTAAATTCTAAAGAGTGAAATTAGGGACTAGACGTTTTAGAGTGAAAATCACTCCCATGTTTGATTGAAATAGTCTGAAAAAAAGAACCACTTCAGACGAAGCTCGAGTGAAAACTAGATCATTACGATTGAAGGAATTTCACTCTAAAACGTCTAGTCCCTATAGTTTCCGACTGTGGGAGTGAATCTTTACTCGAATGGAGTGAATTTGCAATCTTTGGAATTGAGAGAGTAATAATAGAGCGATAAGGCTTACTAGCTTATCCTAAGTTTGTTTTTGGAATCGAAATATTTCTAGTGGACTTTATCAGCAGTAAAACAGCAGCAATAAGACATTCACGTTTTACCAATTTACACCAATTATACCAATATTATACCATCAACTTTCTCTTGTTATCGAATATAACAAGTCTAATCAATTTCTTTTGTACTTGATTAGACAAGTCCACAGCCGCAATTCCAAATCTACCGGCCTGGAGACAACGTCGTCATGACGATCGGCTCCAAGGAAACCTACTACCTGAAGATCACCACCCCAGTCATGAGCACCCCGATGACCGTAAACGTCACACTCCCCACGGCTGGGAACGAGGCGTTCATGACCATCACCGATATGCAGCTCGTGCGGGTCGGCGTCAACTACGCCTGTTATCATCTCTATGAGCTGGAACCAGTCTATAACTCCACGTACTCCACGAGTCAGAACGACACGGCGTTTATCAATCTAGGCATCATCACCAACCATGGTAATTAGATTAAAAGTTTAATATGAAACTAGTTTTTAAGCAGTTTCAAAAACCAGTATTTACATTTTTTTAAAATTGTGGATTTTTTTTAATTGTAAGCATTGTACAAAAATGTATATTAAGAGTTACTTCAGTGCTGTTTTGATTTGAAATGCTGCGAACCAAAGTGTTTTTTATTCTGATATACCAGAAACCTCAAATAACAATATGTACAAAATCGTCATCGTGTTATTAAAGTGCTTGTTGATTTGTTATGATATGTCGGAAACCATTAACTGTAGACCTACAATCCACGAGGTAGAAGTGTTTAACTATCTCCGTGTTGGTTTTTTTTTAATACAATCTTGGTGTACATTTAGTGTTATTACAGTGTTATTTTATTCTGATATACCAGTGACCATACACTACTACCAGTATAATCCCGGTGTTATAGTAGTGTTATATTAGTTATATACCAACAACAATCCCGTGTTGATATAACAAAAATCCCGCTGTATATTCAGTGTTATTTAAGTGTTAATTTCCTCTGATATACCGAGAACCACACATTATACCATCAGTACAATTCTTTATTATCCTGATTTAGTGCTATTACAGTGTTATTTTATTCCAATTCGTCAGAAACCACACACTATACCAGCACATTCTGGGGTATATTAATTGTCATTTATGTGATGTTTTTCGTTCCGATACTCCAGGAAATACATACCAGTGCAACCCTGGTGTATATTTAGTGTTATAACAGTGTTATTTTGTTCCACTACGTCAGGAACCACACCATACTACCAGCACATCTTGGGGTATTAGTTTCATATAAGAGTTTTGTGTTTCGTTCTGATACTCCAGGAACCACACGATACCAGTACAATCCCGGTGTATATTTAGTGTTATTTCGGTGTTATTTTGTTCCAAAACACCAGGAACCAAACAATACTACCAGCACTATCTTTGTGTATGTTTAGTGTCATTAAAGTGTTGTGTTTCGTTCGGATAAACCAGGAACCACACACTACTACCAGTACAATCCGGAGTACGTCACCCCTGAGGATGATGAGATTCTCATCTCTCTGGAGGTCCAGCTGGCCGACCATCCTGATCTCTTCGACGGGGCTGAGATCATCTTCGATGTAGCCTTCGATTACAGCCTTGGGAGGCAGACGGCTTTCAATGAGACGGTGGGCGTGTCTATTGTCGGTGACGAGCGCCCGGAGGTGGAGTTTAACATCACCATGCCGGAGTATGATCCAATGGTGACGCAGCAAGGGTAAGGAGCATAGACAATGTGCAGTCTCAGCCATATCACAAAATAAACTTTATGACACTGTTGTTTTAATGATAATAGAAGTTCCCATAAGTCTGAAAGTCAAGAAATGAACCATTCTCTGACAATAATAAATTATTACATGGTTCCCCAAATAAATATTGGGTAAAAATTTTAAGTCGAAAGTGTTAAACACATTGTCATGATAGCTGTACGTAATTTAACCGAAATGGTGCTTTTAGGGAGGCATTCCCATAGACTTGTGCACAAACTTTTGTCCGACTTTCCTGACCCCTAACCTCAATTTTCCCTCATCCTGTCCCCGCAAATGTTGGTATTTTTATTAATTGGACCACGAACAATCGATCTAGCCAATTTGCGATGGTAAAATGTCGCCTCTAAATAGGAGCTGAGCCATTTAGGAGTACCGAATTCCACATGTCTCCAGAAGGTATAACTTCTGATGCTAATTAAGGTATATCCCAAAATGTACTATTTACGATCGTAGGTTTCGATCAAATTCCTCAGTTTAATAATAAGATAACTTATATCCAAAATCATTCCTTTGTGTTATCGTTAGTTCCTTCTCGTGTCTTCCAAGTGGCATTCTATTTTACGATAACTGTATGACTCGTGATGTCGGACACTGGCGCGTTCTTTGCTATGCTTTATTTTGTTTCAATAACACAGTTGTGGTGCATAATAAATTACAGTGTCACTGATCTAGAAATCCCTGTTTCTGTGATACTAATTACGTCACTCAAATATATTTGACTGTTATAGATTAGCGATATTGAAGCATCTGGGACATGGTTTTAAAAAAAAATGATATTTATTTATTTCTCCTTCCAGGGACCTTCTTCTGACCGAGCTGTCTATCCACCATGTCAATTATTCCAGTAGCCACGCCTATGGCGTGGTCATATACCTCATGTTGCCGTACTACTTAGAAGTTGATCCTGACCTTGAGATTGAGGGACCTCCTCTGTGCGTCAAGACATCTGAAGCGGGAGTCAAGTTCCACGTAAGTTTTTCATTAAAACTGAACCCAATGTCTCAAACACAATTACTATTACAATCTCCGTCTCAAATTACAACAAGACAAAAAGCAACAACTATAAAAATAGAGTTATTGGTAAAAGTTTGCGCTATTAAGAAATTAATTAATGAGACATTTATTTCTACGCTTTTAAACGCGATGCTATAGGAAATAAATGTACTTACTCCTAGATAAAAAGGCGACGAGAATATTGACAAAGTCGAAATTCCCTGGAGCAACTTAGTCATTTCAGATGCTGTTTCGAAGTTTACAACATTCAGGCTATTCTTCTGGCAATTCAAAGACATTTGTGGGCCAATTTCATTATAGCAATCTCAAGGAGTATCTATGTGTAAAATCGGTAGGCATGCATCGACAGATAAGTCTCGAAACAATTTCTATTCCTTTTTCTAATATTGATAATTGCCAATTTATGCATGAATATTTCTCGCCCACCAGTTCGCTGAGATGTACTTCACTGATACCTTCACGATGTGGTTCAACATCTCCATGGATCCTAATCGATACTTGCCGATCGATATGAACTTCGTCAATACGACGGTACCGATGGAGATAGTCTACTACAAGCGCGATGGAACAGACAACGATGGAAACATTGTCCTTGGGGATGTCTTCAAGACAGAAACGCTCATACTCGATCTGTCCTTCAGAACTGAGCGTAAGATGTTCCTTCTTTTTGTGTACAAAAGTTACTAAGCAAAGAAACGGTGTGGCTATCGTGACTATTTTAGTTGAAGGAATGAGTGTTGCTGCCCTTATGAACAAAATGAAAAGGATTGTATTTGGAAGGAGCTATCGTATTTAATCAGAATGAAAGAGTTATATTTTGAGAGAACACGCATATTATTTTGGGGATGTCCATAAAAGATGACCGTTTAACTTGCATTGTTTCCTTGGAGTAAGCATTCAAATATGCCTTTTTGTCCTAATTGTCACAAGCGAATTTCAACCAAATTTGATCATCATAGTCACGAAATAATCTTGTAAAGCATAAAACAGTTGAGATGTGTGACTTTGCCTCATGTTCATGAAACGTCAAAACTTGTCAACAACAGTGACAGCCTGATTTGTCTTTGCAAGTTTTTGAAATATTGAAATTTAAATGTCCCAGTTTTCAAATATTATGTCGTCCAAGAATATTTGGACAATTCAGGAATGGCATCTATTATTATAAAAACAAAGGAAATATCCATGACTTTGTACTGTTACAGAATGCTTCGATGTGCTTGGGATCGAGAACAGCTTCACAATACAGGACTGCCAGATCACCGCCAGCTCTTACCTCAATGAAACCTACTCCCCTCAGATGGCTAGGCTGAATTCAGAATCCGGCTGGGCACCAGCGATACGAGACATGAAGCCATACCAGGGAAATGACTACCTTGAGGTGAGTCGTATTTCTTTGTATTAAAATCGGCATTCGTGCACCTTTGAGATCTTTTTAATCCGGGCTTGGCAAAGTATCAAGTTTATCTTGTGATAGTTCAATGATAGATTTCACTTCAAAACTAAAGGTGGCAAAAGGATATAAAAAAAAAACCACGAACTCATTTTACACTAATTGTTACATTGCCTTTTTTATTATGAAATTTTGAATTACGTAATTCTAAAAGCATCTTACAGGCTTGTGAACTTTTGTGTTTGTTTGAGATTTGGTGTTTGTAGTCACTCGTGAATATAATATTAAAAGTCAAGTTCAAAATTTCAGATTTTCAGTAAGTTGGTGATTGAGCTAATATAGAAATGGTTAATCTAATTGCAATGTGTCTGTTGTTTGATTATGTTGATACACTGTTTCTTTTTACTCATTGCATACAGAAGCAAAGAATGATCAAGAGTTTTTGAAAATGTTTTTGCAGGTGCGATTCGGTGGACTACATCGATTTAGCGGAGTGAGAATGCAGAAAGAGTTCAACGACAGTAGCTGTGTCATGTCATACCAATTGAGCTACAGTGTCGATGGCATTGTGTGGTATGACTACGATCAGGTTTGTACAACAATTGTGTCAATCATGCTTAAATTGTAGCTTCTTCTCCTTAATTTGTTTAGCACAGACAATAATTGCGATATGGTGAAAACATGTTAGCAGTCAAATTGGCATAACGACGTGTATCTTTTGAGACTGAGTCTTGCTGATTTTCACTAAGCATTTTCTTATGCACTTTTTTTGCTTATGTCCCCTCCATAAATTGGACCCAGGTGTATTATTATTGAGGTATTTATAAATAACGATCCTTCCTGTTCCATCATTCGTCCATTGACATGCTCAGGCCGACTGCTGCACTAGCTTTAGCAGTTGTTAGACCCACGTGAACGAAAATAATCTGTTTATACCGACACTGTTGGTAGACTCACAAACATCGAGTTTGAACATATGTGCGCAACGTTGATGTAATTATGATAATTGCTGTTGATGACACCTCTGTTGTTGATGATGTTGCCCTGCTATGTTGTTTGTTAGGTAGGTGATTTTGTTTGTGGGCCAAACTACAAAAAAAACAAGTGATAAAGAAACACAAACTTATCGTTTATTTGTTATTGGTATATGAATGGGTGGATGTTGTTTTTTTCATTTAGTGTCCGTATAATCACTTTGAAATGCCTCAGTTGTTCACACTGCAACTTGTAAAAAACATATATCACATTCAAATAACTTGCTTACTAACCACTTTGCATTGTAATTTTTATGAAACATTTGAATTTTATTTTCTTTGACAGACGTTCATCAACGACTACAACGAGACATTGAATGATTCCTCCTCGCTCAACCTCATCCCGGTACCGTTCAACGGCGCGTATTTCAGGATACGTCCTCAGAGCTACGCGGTCAACACAACCTTCCCCGTCATGAGGTTTGAGCTGTACGGATGCAGACGGACCGCTGATATCGATCTAAATGGTAACCCTCGGTTAACATTCATTTTTATTATTTATTGAATTAATTAACCAATGGGTTTTCAGTATCTGAACCTTAAGCAGATTTCTCTTTTTTTAGTTGAAGATTTAGGTAAAATATGCTTTAATACATTTAAAAACATACAAACACTTGAGTGTAGTTTTTCTGTTTTTGTGTTGTCTTAGTTTTACCCTTTACTGTTATTGTTTACCTAACTGTATTTTTCTTTCTTGTTTATTCACAGCTGCCTGTGCGAAAATGGAATTTCCAGGTCAGTGACCAACTTAAAAAAAAAACAACAACAACAACCAACAAAATCCTTGCCGCATTCTATTGCGCAAGATGTTTAAGGAATAAATAAAGGAACTCAAGATTTCTTCCTGCCATGCACATCAGCGGTCAATTGCAACATCGGTAGATCTCTATTTTGGTAGAGCACTTGACCAGCAATCTGACGACTCAGGTTCAGATGTTGTCAGTGTTCCTTTTTTATGAAGTCCAGTATTTCTAACCATTATATAATCTTAATGATGAAGGTATATGTTTTATTTCAGATTATCCATACTACGAGCGTGGTTTTATCATCGAGCCAGAGACAGGATCTGTTTACGTTTGCATTCTCGAATATGTTGAGTGAGTATCTGAAAAGTCACTATTCTTCAAAAGTTTAATTTACTGTTATCTAGATACATGTACATCAGAGCTACACAACAGATAATTTGCTTAATAAGCGAAGTCAGTGGCTTAATGGCTTACCCACACACAAAATATTATTGTTTGTCCTTCCGTGCTTTGCGAAGCAAAACATGATCACAAGTCTACGAATTCTAACAAAACGTTTATGATCTATGTTCAGCTTTATTTTGGTAAAAAACAAACAAGCCCTTGCGTGCAATATACGGTATTATGGCTGTACGACCGCCTTTGACACTTTTTTCATCGGAAAGTTTCTTTTGTTATTTCAATTGTAGTGGCCCAACCAGATGCTCCTACTCGCTGGATAATGGGACTACGTGGGAGTGTAAGTTACGTCAGAGAAGTTTAATTCGATAGTAAAAAATAATAACAAAATTGACATCTAGGAATTTGTGTGCATATACCATGTAGGCCTATATTTGTGCTGGCGCATGTTGATTATACTTTCGTTTACTGGTTTGTAGAGATTTTCTTTCTGTGATTTGATTATCGAACATTCATTGACGACCAAAAAAAACCAAGACAATTAGTTTAGTGATACAGACAGGTACTTTGAATTATTTCATACGTTGTTAGTTATGTATTTTCATGAGTTTTTTTGTGTTTGGTTGTAGCCATGGACAACAATGTTGCCAACGTCATTGGCCTGGAGCCAGAGACGAAAGAACTGTTCGGGATATCCCAGAACAGACGCGCGATCATGCGCAGTGGAAACCTGGGTGTCACGTGGTCCAGCATGGAGCCCGAGCGGTACCTAGAATTATCGAACAGCAGTTACATAATGGAGACGACGAGGGTCCCGTTTATTGACATCTCGGGCGAGCCTGATGACTTCATCGTGGCAACGGAAGGAGATAGCATATTCTTCGAGTGGGGAGGTAAAAGATAGATTCGTTAGTAACGTCTAAAGACATCTGAAGTGACTTCTTCACTCGATTAATAATATTAAGCGTTCTGATTTGAAATTCCTGGCTCGTTTTTGAACCTTAAATTATCGAAGGTTGAATGTTCAAACAATCTTTTCAATGTTTTTGCATTTCAGCTGCGTCAGAGGGTCTATATCGACGAGAAGTGATGGTAACCCACAACGGCACAGCGCCAAGTGAATGGGAACTCATGGGTCTCTGGGGCTACCCTTGATGGGAACCAGCGACTTTTCCAACCAACCAGGGGATTGTGCACTACTTTTTGTTCGGCGAAGGCAGATTATAAATCTCTCCAAAAAAAAAGAGTTCATCTTATGCTGTGAAAACATCGGCGAAGAATCGTCTTAATTCTTAGTCAGTATGCATATAAGTAAATGTTTATTCGAACTACATTTAAGAAATATCGAAGAGAAAAGGGTGTTGATAGATTACCTTTTAGTAATAAGCTTTAATACAGTTGTAGTTGATTAAGAGCTGAAATAAAGATTGTAGTTTTGCTGTATCGAGCTTTTCGACAGCATGGAGATAAAATATCTATATATAAATCTATGTAATATATTGTACAAAATATACATTTTTCTCTTAGTCTGAATACCTTTAGATTAAAAGGTGTTGTTATTGTGTATTTTTTATTATGAGGTCTCTGATGTCAGGAATAATAGTGGTCGATGATATTTTATCCTTGCCCAACCTTTAAAGACAATAGTTGTTTTTGTAATCAACTAGCTAGATGCTACTTCTCCAATGGAACTTTCTCTTTATTCTCCTGTTCATGCAAAATTAATGTTAAAATATCTAATCAGGAAGTAATTAAAGTAAACACCAAATGTAGTTGCACTTTAAAATACTGGGAAAAATGATAGCACTAAAATCCAAATGTGACCAATGATGCTATAAGATGTGCCAAAGATGAACGGGTTTCCTGCACCAAGTTTATTGAAACTTTCGTCTGTATCATACTTGAGTAAATTATACAAAATGTACAAAATGTAATTGACAATTTAGAACACCATTATTTTGTGTCAAAGATTGTGACGAAAAGATTACTGTAAATAAAAAGTGTAATCTTGAATAACTGTACAAAGGAGTTGCCTCTGATTATATTTATGTATGGAAATTAAATCTGAACGGAATTAGATGATGTGGCCTGTTACTTCCCCCGGGAAAATGTTGGTTAACTTCTACCAGGGATGTCAGATTCTTTGAAGAAAGAAAAGGGGGATGACCAAAAATCCTTCTGGACGCAGCGGAAAATTTAGAAATTAGACGCTTATTTTAACAGCAGGATCAATACATCTCACTTTGCAAGGCGTCAGTTCTGAGCATTGTTATTTATGGATGTCAAATATTGATAATGTCACCCTCCCCCTTCCCCGTAGTGACCAGCTATAGACATCTTTCACCAGGCAATTCTTCGTACCTCGCTAACATTACATATAATAATTATAATATAATAATTTGGGGAGGCTAACTGATCATCCGGCACAGCTGGTGTGCTGAATTGCGAAGGACGCGGCTACAACGTGGTCGGGCCGCTGGCACGTAAAGGCGCCTATGGCTGCCGTCCACATCGACCACTATGACCACGGAGCACAGCCTGAGAAGGAAAGTGTTTGATTTTTCGGGAGGGAGAACAACCGGAGGGCCCGGAGAAAAACCATCGTGGCACAGGAGAGAACCAACGCACAACTCTACTCACATGTGATCCGCGGCCAGGATTCGAACCGTGGTCACCTTGGTGAGAGGCGAGCGCTTTACGCACAAGCCACCCATGCCACCCTAAATATCAAGACGGATTCAACTATCAGGAGCTCTTCCCCTCCAAGGGGGCGCGGACATGAGCTCCGCCGCCCTCGCTCCCGGACTCTGTAAACCGGCACGTGCTCTAGACTCCCTCCAATCACGTGAGGGGCTAACAAAGCATTAAAGCCACCAGCAAATAACCGACTTTCGGAGGGAGGGGCCGCTAGGGGGATATTTGACACTAGGGGCGCTCTTTTCCCTTTTACATTTTTTTTAAAGAATCCTTAAAAGATGAGTAACATCGATTTTAAAAAGTCAATTCTCTTCTGATTCAATTGTTTTAAAAACAAGCTCGATCGAAAATATCTCGGAAGCTGCGGGCCAACCAATTCGTGTTCATGTATGATTCACGTGATTGCGCCATGAAATTTCTGGAAAGGAGTGTTTTAACTAAACTAATCCCCGGTGACCCCAATTATTTCACTATCACTTTTTTATATGGCACCTTGTGCGTCCGCATTTGTAATGATCATATTACAAACTACCCAAACAATTTAATTTTTTTTTAAACAGACGTACCCGCAAATGTTGTGGCTGGATAATTATTTCCTCTTTTAATAATTGTGCTATTAGAGTCAAACCGTATTTACAACTCAATATAGGTACCAGCAATTTATTTTTTTAATTTAATGCTCTGGTGGATTTCGACGTAAACTTTGACGTGCTTACGTGGCTCAAAGCCTTGTGTACTGGCGCTCATTACTAAAATTATCTCTGGAATTCACTTCCATTGAAACGACAGTTACTGGAAGACGTGTGCGTTCTACTGGGATGATGTTTGTGCCTCTATTGTGCAAGAGTGTATCCTAACGCGTATTATTTAAGGTATTTTTTTGTAATTGTCATTTTCTCATTTTTCCAACCGAGAATCTCGAAAGAAATTTTCGGTTTATTTCAATGGTAATTTTTTTTTACTCTTTTTGATTTTTGTTAACGATCGGATCGAGAATTAATTTCAAATAATTATAGGAAATCTTTTTTGTGCCAAAACTGTTAATCATTATTTAATTGCTGAAGAGTCAATGATAATGTTAAACTCATGAATGTTTAATAAGATTATCCAGCACAAAATCTATTCCGGATTTTGCCTGTCACGCTCCAATTTTTTTCTTACAGAATTCATCTTCCACCTTTCACGATTTCTCCAAGGGAAATAAGAAGTTACCGTCATGACTAAAAGAGGAGTTTCCGTCTTTATATTGATGCTGCTTATGGTTCAAGCAGCAACAGGTTAGATGATACTTAGTATTCAATTTTAACCATATATATTAATTTGTTGTGCACAAAATTGTATGACTAAATTTCCCATATAAAACATATGCACACACAACATGTATACATCTCATGCATGCTCACAGGTAGTCTGGTTTCCAGACCAAAAGATTCTGAGTATTTTTCTAATGAATTTTGCAAGATATTTCCAGGCACATTCTGTGCGTAGAACGCGGGAGTATATACACAGAGAAAAACGCTATTCTTTTAAATTTTCACTAAATGCCGAGGACAAATTTAATTTAAAAAGCATCAAATTTATATGATAAAATAATGTACAAATCAAACTGTCTGAGGGAGAACGAATGAAAATGTTAGCATAAGTGGTTGATCTGTCACGATCAGATCTTTTCAAAAAAGTGGCCTATTTCTAACATTTCCTTGTCGCTTCGCGCTCGCGTCCTGTGTGTACGGGCGCGCCCTTCCTGAATCCCCCCAGGGAATTCATAGGACAATTTTGATAACAATCTCGCTTATGTATAACCTAACATGTTGATGTAGACCTTCTTTTCAGAAATCCTTTTGCATTTCACTTTAAATATTTTTATTTCAACGTATGAAGAGAAGGAAACTGTATATTGTTTTCGCTCGTTTTAAATCTTAGAAGCTTACAAAATGAACGTATGCGGCTGAGATTGACTTTTGTTGTTATGCATCATCGTTCATCCTAAAAAGATTATAATTCTTCATTGTCAGCACTCATTTAGAAACAAGCATGCCAAGCTGCGTCGACTTTCCAAAATCATTTCAGGAATACGTACTCGGCACGCGCAAGTTGTGCACAAACCTCTGCAGCATTGAACCCATCAAAATTTGCATTATTTTTTCTTCCTCAAATATTTCGAGAAGTGTTTGATTATCATGTCAAATATTGATGCACATAATACAAGAAACATAACACTTTGAAAATCAAGTCCTAAAGCTCATAAACAATAATTTAGGCCTACATTGAGATCTGTTTTTGAACATTCACAAACAATATCTGTGTACAACGAGAAAGAAACGTTTTGACTGGTTCACTGCATGCACCACAGGTCTCCGCACAATGTCTGGTTATTTGTCATCCATATACAAATATCGGTAAGGGGTTTTATTTAATTCAAGATAACAGAATGATAATTGAAGCCTTTCTATCTTTTAACCCTAATAATACAGCTGATCCCTGGTGTTACGTCACGCCCCTTCTGGGGGCGGGGGCAGCTGTGGGGGCCATGATGCGGTCCGTCGGCTCTAGAACCATTCATGGATTTAAAGGGGTGGTAACTGCGAGTACAGCAGGCGTAGCGGGCGCCTTTGTCGCCTCCTACTTGTTCCCGTGCGGCGACTGTGGCTGCTTGGACATGGAATGAGAAGGTTACAGACAAGCGCAAAAGATATCCATCATTGCGCCATCAACACAAAGGGAGCAAAATATGGCAAACAATGACGTCTGAAAATGGCCATTGCTACAATTTATGGATTCAAAATATTATATTATATTTTTATTATAGTTCTCGATTTCAAAGGAATTTACATAGGCACGGCCTTCCTTGGTCGTTATCTGAAAATGAGTTGGATTTTCTTAGCCCAATTTGAAAGTTACGTACTTTTTATTATTAATCATGAAATGAATAACTGAACAAGCGATCATCTAACTCCTTAGATTGTAAAAAGAAATTGGGCTGCCAGTCATCCCTAACATAGTTCTATTTTGCACCTCGATATTATTTTTGCAAGGAGACTACGTCATGGTTCATTTACGAGTACACGTAGTAGGCATGACATGGACAAACAAATAAAATAAACAGGTGGGACTTGCGACCAAATACATTCTCTGTTTGTTTGGTTCTTTTAAGTTGTGAATATCATCAGAAAGTTTCAGGGTTTTTTTCCCAGGGGCGTAAATCCCGGGGTGGGGTGGGGGTGGGGGTATATATCCCCCACTTTATGACCGGGGGATGGGCTATTGAATCATCCCCACCATTTTTTTGTGACGAGAAAAAAAATGTTAATTTTGACTTATTTTCCGAACGTCCCAACGACAAAAAAAATGTATTCAATAGCACTGAAGAGTGGAGAAACAAAGTACAAAATCTGAAAAAAATGTAAGCGCGAGTATACATCTTTATCCGTTAGGTCAGCCTAGTAAAGTTATAGTCCCAGAGGGCATATCCCTTTATATTCTTTATTCATGATCATCACAGGGGCGGATCCAGGAATTTTTGCGGGGGGGGGGTCATCAGCAAAATATTCTGAAATGTAGACAGGTTTTTTTTTTCTCCGCGAACACTTGGTTTCCGAAAATCAAAAGGTGGGTGGGGGGGGGGGTCGTTACATAATTTACAAGGGGGCGCTGTTCAAATCCGACGATTACACCCCTAACCAAGCTGGTTCTGTCCGTATTTTGTGCACAGGTGGACATTATTACCAGGATAATTATTTTGGGTGTCAGAGCAGGGGGTGCATTATTTTTAAAGAATTTCTATGAAAAAAAATGACAGAGCTCGGGAGGGGGGGGGGGTTGACCCCCCCCCCCCCCCAACCCGGGAACCGCGCCTGCATCAGAAATGGACTATTGACTGGAAGTCTTTTCATACAAGGCTTACTAAGTTATCATTTGAGTCAACTGGTCAGTTACAAAGATCCTCCTCAAAATACGGCTGATATGTAGGCTAATTTAAACAACCCGGATACGTATTCGTCACCGAACAGGTTAAAGCTAGAGTCCATCATTTGCACCTATCCCAAAACTAACTGACGTAATTAGTGTTGAAAAATATACTTGGTTAAAAGATAGTAAGGGGACTAATCGATAAACTCCCTGTGAAATTATTCTTTCTCTGGCATGCTGTCATTTTGAAGAAATCAACGAAAGAAGGCCTTTCCAACGGTGCGTCTAGTAAGACTCTCCTTGCTCCCCTTGCCCCCCACCCCTCGCGACGCCCATGGGTGCACCGTGCAATTACACGGGAGGGCGTAATTTACATCATTTCCAACATTGGCTGTCCCACTCATAACTAAGTTCCCAAAACATGAGGTTGTATGGGACGGAGTGTCAAATGAATCATGAATTCTCCTTAGTAAAAGAGAACGGAATTTTGTAAATTTCCCGGCCGCACTCTACTGAGGTGCAACCGCGATCTGTATAGACATAATGTGAGCAGCTAATTACTATACTCCATTTCATTACGTTTTAATGATTTCTATTCGGACAGATGCAATTTTAAGTCAGCTGGTAAAGAGGTCTTCCTTCCGTTATTGTCCATCTGCAAACGAGTAGGCCGGCAATAATGCGGCAATTCACAAAATCAATCATGTTTATTTTGGAAGAAAGAATATCACTGATGAATATGCATGCAGTGGAACTTTGACCTTTAATTCACCACTGCCTGCATCCCAGACTCAATTCAACGCTAAATGCTCATAAAAGGGATCGGGAGTTCCGACTGCACATGTTCACGTTGATTTACCAAACGAAAGTATTGCATCAGTATTGCTAGCTGCTGCCGATTCCATACCATAACGCATGCACTTCGCACCGTCTCGTCATTAGGGTTTAGTCGCAACGCTCGCTCAGTCCTGTTTTAGCCGGCAAAATGGTGTTAGACGTTGAGCTTTTCCGTGCTGACAAGGGAGGCATTCCCGACAAGATAAAGGAGAATCAAGCCAAGCGTTACAAGGATGTGACTTTGGTGGATAAAGTCGTGGAGGCAGACACCAAATGGCGAAAGTGTAAGTCTACTTCTCAGCTTCTACAATGCGTGCAGTGTTCAAAACGGTGCTTTAATATTCTGACCCATAGGCCATTACTAATCAGCTAATGCCTAGGACAGATACATGTATGTGGAACTGGAAATGGTGACCCAACTATAGCCTTTTATTTGCATTTTTAGTGCAGTAGTACATGTAGTTATTTAGCTCGACATGCTCGAGTAACTCCAGCTGACATGCTCCATATTCATTCACATGTAACTCTGGAGGCATAACCTGTTCGTTAGAAAAATGTGGTAGCAAGAGACACTAAAAAAAATGGCCTCTCAAAAATTGTTCATTTTTACCTCTAATATCCCACCCAAGAGTTCATTTACATACCTCATACATTCAGCAGTCATTTACGAAGCCTAATAATCAACTTGAAACAGACCACAAAAACAAAATGTGAAAAATCTTAACAATTTCAGTGGCTTGTCCGTAAAAAAAACGCCAGTTCCAACGGCTGCCGTCCATTTTGTTTTACTAATTATGTAAATGTATGCATCACGTGATGACATCGAAAAAAATCTGTGCGCGCGATGTATGTAGGTACCACACCGCTTTCCGACGCCGCAAGTGAGTTCAATTTCCGTCTGGTGCGTTGTCGCGGAAAGCAAGACAACGAGAATGGACGGCAGCCGCTGGAACTGGCGTTTTTTTACGGACAAGCCACCGAAATTGTCAAAATTTTTCACATTTTTTGGAAAATGTAAACTTGTACATTACAGTGTTTGGCAGTGTCTTCATGTTAATGAGTAAAGTTTTCTGAATAGAAATTTGGGACTCTTGCTGGAATATGAGCCACCCCTAACGTCTGTGCATAACTAACTGTGGTTAAAAATCTTTAAATTGGTTTAAAATTTATCAGTTCTAAAATGCAAAGTATTTTTGGAAAAAACGTAGCCACCTGACGCCACTTTTTTCTTCAGATATCATCTCAATGAAGGTCAGTTATTACAAAAGTGATGATAAGACATGAATTTGGGACTGAGAAACATTTTCCAATTTTGTTACGAAATATTTAGAAAATTTTCTTGACTCTCAATAGACTTTGTACACAACCGCTGAAGTGGCGTCAGTTGCAACATTTTTTTTATATTTTTCTGTGAAATATGGAACACACATGACCTGACCAATCGTAAAAGCATGTTCAGAATTCCTTACTAGTAGATTCTTCTAAGTCTACCCCAGTAGACAGTCCTAATGTTCAGAAATAGAACCGGTAATATTTGTACGTAGTTACTTTCCACGTCAAGAACATTTGTAAACAGCCGAGGCAGTGTTGGAATTCCCCGCGCATGTTTAACATTACAGGATACTTTTTGGAATCTCTTGCAATGTTGTGCAATGCGGGGATTCCTTTCACACAGGTGGGATTTCCAACATACCAAAATGTATGCCACAACAAACCTGGGGATTTACAACATTAGTCAACATGCTTTTCTCAGAAGCAAGCAAAGTTGCAGGTGAAAAGGGGAATTTCTGTTCAGTTTGAATTCATTTTTGTTGCTTTATTCACCCTCCCTTTGCAGCCTGAAGCAAACATGCATTCTGTGCCAAGTTGTCCTTTCAGTTAAAGTCAATCGAGTGACTGTTTTCAACAGTTAAGAGCTCCCAGCCTACGTAAAGCAGGCTTGATTGGCTGTGACTCTTTATGTAACTTGATACAGCTATGCTTTGACTGTAGGTGATTGATAAGCCAGCTGTGCCTACGACTTCCCTGCTTTTGTCTGTTGACTGAATTTGACTTGTCACAGTGCTTACTTGAAATATGATCTGACTGTTAGTGACTGGCCTGTGTAAAAGGCATGGCAGGGGAAGAGGATTGATTTTTTTTACTGTCTGTGACTGTTCAGACAACAGGAGGATTAATCAAACAAAAGACTACTTTTAATAGTGTACAAAATATTGAAAAGGGCTAGAATAATTCACATAAAACTATTTAAAAAGAAAAACAAATAAAAAAGCAAATCACACAACTTACTGAAAAGAGAATTATATTATTAAAAAAAAATTTGTGTCAATTAACAGCCTTTTTCAGTGGGCAATGTTTATGATGTACCAGTAGTTAAGGTATAAATTATGAATTCACAGATTTAGTCAGAGGCTTTAGAAAACATTGGGCCACTCTTTTTATTTTCATTGAAACAGATGCGAACATCTTTTTTTTTTCCCAGCTTATAGGCCTACATGTTCATAAAGTAGTGTATAAAAGCAAACAATATCCACACACTATTTAAATCCTTCACCCTAATCACCCTAAAAATGTAACCTCATATGAGCAGCATTGACACTTTTAATTATATGATAACCAAATTGTACACATACCAGACAGACTATGTCAATAGTTTGTTAGTAATAATTGTGTTGTTTTTGATCAGCTGGTGTGCAGTTGCTTATACAATTAATTGCAGAGCTGAAAAGGGTTAGTTAAAGGGAAAATACAACATTTGCAAACATCAAAAAATAAAACTACCAAATTATTTTCAAATACCTTGCTGGACTGTTAGTGAATGACAGTGTAAAGTATCCTGTAAAATCATGGCACCTGGTATACTGTCATTTTCAAGAAAAGCGGTATTTTTGTATCAATTTCCAACGCTGGTCGGCCGACCAGCGTTGGAAAAAACTGGCTTTTTTCAAATACTGGCCCCAATTGACCATCGCATTTGTTTGCAATCGATTACGCACCTACAATGTATGAACGGGTACAAGCCAGCTGGACTGGTTCCATGACTTTACAATTCCCCAATGTACATGTATATAAACTGCTCCGTTTCTTCTTATATGGAGTCAGGGAACCAGACTACAGGAAAATGATTGTTTTTCTTGGTTTTTATAGCATTTTCGAACCCAAAACTTCAAAAAGGTCAGTGTAACAATATTTGCTATAGGCCCTATATATAACCAAGCCCCCAAATCCATCCATTTCTGAAAATTACAGCAAAAGCAAATGATGTATATTCCCTTTAACGAGTAATGCAATGCCTGGCACTTTTTCAACTTGGATTTCTAGGCGTTGCATCAGCCAAATCACAAGGTGAATTCCAGGTTTGGTGGAATTCTTTGTACGAGGAAGTGTAACACAAACCACTTAATGGCTTTCAGTTCTGGTATTTGACAGCTCCTTTACATAGCTCAAGTGTCAACAAACATGTTGTCATGTTCAAGGAAATGCGTAATTGTTTGTGGGGTTATTGGTATCAATCTATAGAGTGACGAACAGTCTAAAGCCAAAAGAAGTGGGAATTTTTTCAAGATTTGGCTGGAGGAAAAAAAGTCTAAGAAGATTTTGAGAATCCACCCTGCTATGCCCAGTGCAGTTGGCAGAGAATTATCAGACCTTTCAAAACATTTTAAATTTGCCTGACTGAAAGGGTTTTGAAAGGTGAAATAGTGCTGGAACTTTGAAACTTTTCGAAAGGTTTCGGAAGGTGAAGCAACTCTGTGGGCAAATTCAGTAAGTTGCCTTTCAATACCTTTCGAAAGGAATTGAAAGGTGTGGTAGTGCAGTAACAATAAATTCTGGAGGATTTTAAAAGGTCCTGCATTTTTTGTCCTCCAATTTGCCAGAACCCAGATTTTGAGGTGTTTTGAATGGTCAAACCACAGGAGAGTTAATCCAAAATATGGTTTTGTGTGGACCATTTTTTTTATTCCTCCTCGCTGTACAAGTTAACAAACACCCTTTGAAGTGAGAAAAAAACTCAACCATTATTCTTTGTGTATAGCATTGCCCCACTTCAGCATTCTGCCTGGGGTCCTTGGCCCTAATGAGTCCAACATCATACATGTGACAATCATCAAAGTTTGAAACCTGCTGGATCCAACAGAAATCAATGGTTACCATGGTTACTACTTGTGGGCACGTGTGGTCTAGCGGTGGAGCACAGGATTCATGATCGTGAGGTTGTGGGTTCGAGCCCCGCCGTGGCCATGTGCGTTGTGCCCTTGAGTAAGGCGCTTTACCTCAATTACTCCTTTCAACCCAGGTGTTAAATGGGTACCGGCATTATTTAATGCTGGGAAGGTAACAGACTCGCTGTGGAGGAGGTGTGGTGATCCCCCCACAGCAGCATATGAGTCTGGCCCAATCGCTAATGAAAGAGAGATGGGCACTCCGTTCCTGTTAACACTGGTTCGGCATCTTTACCTTTACCTTTTACTACTTGTCACAGTCACAGTTCACATCAACATGATTTACTTTATGAATCTGTCCAACTTACATTGTAAATAAAACCATTAGGCTCAATCAGAAACAAGGAAATTGTGTTTTACTGATTTGAAAATCACAGGGGTGTGGAAAAGGGCACACCTGGATTTTTCTAGGCGTGTGGTTTTTCTAGGTGTGTGGTTTTCTAGGTGTGTGATTCTGTGGTTCTGGGAAATTCAGGGGTACAATTATTTCGCACTTCTCAGGAAGCTTTTAGGCGTGTGATGGCGTGGGTGTGATTGCACACCTCAAATCAATAGGACTGAACATTGTTTTCTTGTTTGAAGCTTCCCATCTGTTTCATTGAACACTTGTTTACAACACAAAATGACAAATTAAAGCCTCTTATTTCAATTTTAAGATGCCCTGAAGTGTTCAAGGAAACAGATTATAACATGTTTTAACAGTTCTAAACCTCTAAACTCTTTTGTCTTCAACAAGGTGACTCACTCAGAAATGTGCACCCCGTTGAAAGAATATTAATATTTGAGACCTGTTCCCTCAAAACCTGGACAATTTGTTGTTTAGATTTCGGTATTTTCAAATTCCTGAGATTTTCAGCTTCAAAATCATGATTTCATAGGTACTAAGACTCTACCACTCCTGGGAGAAAGGTCAAGTGACAAAACCCTGACAACCCAATTATGAGCTAAACATCTGTATTGAATTTATGCTTTTTTTGTATAAAATTCTATACACATTCTTTTCACTAAATCAATTAACAAGCACACTTCAGCTTGATAGATTATATTCAATCTTTGAGAGGTTGTAGATTTATAGTTTCCAATTCAGAAAACCTCCAAACCTCAAAATGGTCGGTTTCACTCCAAAGTGACTTCACTTGCCATTTGTGTGAAAACAACTTATGCAACTTTGTCAGGGCTTCGTGGAGGCAGGTCTCATTTGTAAATTGCATCAAGTCCTTTTTTTGATAAAAATACATGTAGCTTTAGAAATAATACAGTCAATAGAAATTTGCAGTCAATGCTGAATGATAAGTTTCTTTCATTCATCTTGAACATCCTTGTTTATCTGATGCATTTATGTTTTTTTCTCATCAGTGCGTTATGAGGCTGACAACCTGAACAAGATGAAGAACCTCTGCAGCAAGATCATCGGTGAAAAGATGAAGGTAGAATTTCCCACTTCCAACCTGGACCCAATTTCGTGGCGCTGCTATTAAGATTTTCTGCTTACAGAGCCTCCACCTATTTCAGGGAGACTGTAGGCAGTAAGCACAGCAAAAGCACGCTTAACTTCAGATGAAAAAGTTGCTTAAATCGTAACAATAGAAATCTCCATGCACGCACAACCCGTAGCACATCCACGCCGCGAAATAGTACTTAAGGTTGAGCACTTTTTTCTGCTATAGTAAGCACAACTTTTCTGCTTACTGTTAAGCAGCGCCATGAAATTGGGCCCAGATCTGCTATAGTTTGAATCACCGTGGCCACTCATCAAATTTAAAAATCCCAAGATGACCGCAGAAAAATTCCCAAGATTTCCCAAGATATCAACATTATGTCACAATAGCTGCACAGACCATAATTTTGAATGTGAATGTGGCCCACATAGTGCTTCAGTTAACATTTTGCGCATACATGCACAATCCATACTTTTGTGTGTTCTCAATACGCAAATAAATTCCAAGGCTCAGCGAAACGTTCCCAAGCCCTGGCCTAAATTCCCAAGATCTTGAGAAAAATCCCAAGGAGTTGCCTTGGATTGCAATAGACTTTCCACTAATCCCCACTCGATGACGCTTAATCACGCATGCATGCACTAATGTCCGACATGTGTGAACTAAAGACGGGCAGGTATGAAACTTGCAGTGCGGCATTGTAGAGGGCGTGGCACACGTGTTGTTGCTCACGTGCGCATAAGGCGGGACCTAATCGATCGGTCGTTTATTTTAAGTATATTTGTACTTCTTGAAACTAATAAAAAAATCGGTTACTTAAACTCTTCAGTTCAGGAACTGTAGATGGGGCTGTTTGTCACCTCCCCACCCCTCCCCCAAAAGTCAGATATACATGTTTCGTATTCTAAAATAAGCACCCACAATGAATGGATATTGGTACAGGCAACTACATTTGAAAGTGAATGTGCTCCATTCCATGTAAATATTGAGCATCCACCAAACAGTAATTTTGTGTGTGTTTACAGTCTAAAGTACTGTATATTTATTTAACAAGCTCTATTTGAAGGCGCCGAGTAAAATTTCATTTTTGTTGTTCATGATTCTAGAACAAGGAGCCAGTTGGCAGCGAGGATGAGGAACTACCCGCCAAGATTGCAGAGGCTCTGAGTGATTGCAAAGCAGAAGACTTGAAGGTAATCCTACCACATGATGCCTTACAGAAGACAACCCCTGAACCTAGGGAGCTGCTAAACAGTAGAAACTGCTAAGCAAGTTAACTCACCAAGCAAAGCCATCTGTCAAGCAACATACAGCATGTTTCATTTCAGCTGGTATATCTGATTTTGCTTAGCACTGCAAATCCTTCTCTACCGAAGAAAAAAAAAATGCGAAGAAAATGGCCATTTGTGGGGTGCATACCGATGTTCCCCAATACCGATGTTCCCCAATACCAATGTTCCCCGAAATCCCTACCAATATAACCCTAACCCTAGCCCTAACCTTAACCCTAATCCTAAGGATTTGGGGGAACATCGGTAGTGGGGAACATCAGTATTGGGGAACATCGGGTAGATCCCATTTTGTGATCCCAAAGTGAGACTGCTTATTCCCCGGTTTATGTCCTAACCTAACCCTTTTACTTCTCAAATTGTGCATTCCCATCCGTTAAATGGTAAACATCACAAGTTTTTATGACTGAGTTTTTGTATTTTGAAATAGTTTTCTTAAGTTTGCAAATTTTGGTCTTCCATTGACTGAACTGTGTGACCTTTGACCTTGGCCAGGAGCTGACAGTGTCACAGATCAAGAAGGCCAGGCAGCTGATCGATGACCAGATCACCAAGTGCAATGAGGACCGCATCCAGTGTGAGACCACGCGCAGAGAGAACCTGATGGAGATTGGCAACTTCCTCCACGAGTCTGTCGTCATCAGCAACGATGAGGTACACAAGATGGGGTCCAGCGCCTCATCTGCCAGCTCGATTTTCCATTTCAGCCCCAAAACAGGCAGGATGCAAACTATTGGGGGGAATGCTGTTCACCTTTGGGTTATTTCTAAACAAAATTAAGTACTTGACATCACCCCTGTCCTGTCCTCACAGAGTGCTCAAATTTCAGGTCAAAACCCACACATACTGCAATTTGTCACCTTGTCATTTCTTTGTTCTCGTGTTCTAAAATTTAGAGTTTGAAAGTGTCGTTTCAAAATGCTCCTACTTTAACCAGAATTAATTTCCTGGGCTGAAATTCAGACTTAATATCCCTTACATAAAATATTTCAATTTGCGATGATCAACACACCTTGGAGATTCCTACTTTTTGAGTAAAATCCATATATCTATTTCGTGATAACCTTGTGGAGACGTATTCACCCATAGAAAATTGCCTTGTGGAGATGTATACAATTTATCTTTTGTTCCTTATTATGCACATGTCTCCACAGGGCACCGTTTACCAGATCATTATATCACATGCTCGTAGCTAATATTACCAGACTGGAAGTGTTTTCACTAGGCCATTCCCACAACAAGAAAACACACATTTGCAGTTTCAATAATGTATTTGAAAATGTTATAATCAAGGGCGCGCACACACAAAAAACCCTCAGACTTCATGTTTGGAACATAGCGAAAAAATTGCTGTATTTCCCAAACCCTCACCCAGATCTTCCTTGTCATGCGCTTTTTGAAAAATAAGACTTTAGGTGGAATAACAAATTTAACTTCTAATGAGTGGTCTGTACGTTGATCTATATTTTTGGACATTCAAGAGTTGGTTAAAATTTTAATTAAGTTTCAATTGATCCAAGTTCACTGGGCTGTTTCGCAAGTTTCAAGGCCCAGTTGACTAGATTCAATTTCAATGTCTGTTGAAGTTGGTGACAAGTCTGTGTTGGCTCGGGTCCAAAATCCACAAAGAATACAATGTATTAAGGCTTTCAATTGGTTTGTTTGCATTTCACTATAATAAGTCTCTGGGGTTTCCCTCCCTTCTCAGAAACCAAAATTTCCCGTTGACAAACAAACCGTTTCCTTCTGTTATTGCCCTGATTTTTTTGGCCTGTGGCGGTAAGGGGTTTTTGGTTTTTGGTTCTTCCCATGTGCTGGCAGACATCAGGCTGTGATTCAAGTGAAGGCAAGGGGGGGGGTCTTGTATCCTTACCCTAACTCCGTAGGCATATTTGCTAGGATGCAGCCTCAATCCTGCAAAATCCTGCAATGCCTTCATGTGAAAATTGCATACAGCCTCAATCCTGCAAAATCATCCGTTATTTATTGAATGTGGTCCTTGGAGGGGTGACCACTGCCTCAATCCTGCAAAATGCTCCAGCAATCACTGTCAATATGTTGAGACAGAGCCAGTGACATCCTGGAGCAGTGCGGAGGATTAATCTAGACCTAAGTTTACGCACCGCTGAACATAAACAACGCAAGGTCCGGCCAAAGACCTTGACACCGTGCATCTTCCAAAATCAGCCACACAGTTTTGTCATATAGCCTCAATCCTGCAAAATCCTCCATTTTGCAAAGAGGATTTTGGAGGATTTGAGAAAGGTTAGTGTTAAGCAAGACAATTTACAACAATTATGTCTGTTGTTATGTGAAATATAAGTGTGCCTGTAAGGGTTCAGTTATTCATTATGAGTTAGATTCAATCTGTAGTTATAAACACTATGAAAAAGGACAAAGATATTGACTGGAGCGGGATTTGAACCAGTGACCCAAGACAGTTTACCCATTCCTATTGGTTGAAAGCCCGTCACATGGCCAGTTTTAAAGGGTAGATAAAGACCGGCTGGCTGGTCTTAAACACTTTTCCAGTGTCACATGAAATTTGGACTCCCATGAAATCCAGTGCCTTTTAACAGTCAATATTTCTCCCTATCATTTTATTTAGATCAAAAACAAAATTGCACCCTAACCCCCAGTACTTCCTCAGGACTACCCTGCTAAATCCAACAGAGTCCAACCGGACTTTCCTGTTCAATCCGCTGTGCCTCATTTTCAGTTGTCTGCTGAATCCAACGGAGTCCAACAATGCGTTATAATGCGGTTCAGTTGCCTGCTGAATCCAACATTTTGCATGAGGAATGTACACATGGGGGTTTACTGCTCAATCCAACAGGCTCCATTGGGTATGTGACATAGTGGGATCCTGTTGGATTCAGCAAGGTTAGGGCTACAAGAAGGAGATTGGCTCGAAATGACACTCACTATTAATACATGTATATCAGCTAATAAAACGAAAGCTTCAGCGTTATTTTATTTCTGTCTTATTGAAGCAAATCATTTCTTACTCGAAAGAGTTAAATGTACAGTATATGTTTAAAACAGAAGTAAAATTACAGAATAGACTTTAAGGCTTGAAGTAATGTTGGTGTATTCCTGCTTGATTGTCAGGATGATAATGGTATCGTCAAGATGATAGGAGATTGTGAAGTCAGGAAGAGGTACTCCCACGTTGACTTGATTCACATGATTGATGGCGTGGATGGAGAGAGAGGAGCCATCGTGTCTGGCAGCAGGGGGTACTTCCTCAAGGTAGGTCAACCCTAACCCTTCCTGATCCTTCTAAATCCACCAGCCTTGGTAGGATTTTGTTGGATTGAGGAAGGTAGAGCCATGCCTGTTTTACGTAACATGGGGCATGACATGGCCTGAAATTGAAGTATGAAGAATGTTTGGTTGTGTTTCTGCACAGTGGTGGGCATTGGAGAATTCATGATAAAACTTATTCTGGGGTAAGGCTTATTTTGAATGGTCGTGGGCATTACTAATCAGTAAAGCCTTGCGTAAAATATATTTTATGTCATTTTTTGGTAAATCAATATTTTTTGTTTGCCTTTCACCGACGTTTAAACACTGTATACTCAGTGTGTTACCTCCCGTGTGAAAGTTGGTGGAAAAAATCACTCGGGTGGGACTCGAACCCACGACCTCCTGCTTACTAGTGCAGACGTCTTACCACTCGACCACCGAGCTTGCGGGATCGGTTGGCTGGTTCCAATCTGATGTACGTGTAGCAGCGGGTTCCGCAATTAAACTTTTCCTAAGATGGAAGCTCGGTGGTCGAGTGGTAAGACATTTGCACTAGAAAGCAGGAGGTCGTGGGTTCGAGTCCCACCCGAGTGATTTTTTTCCAACTTTCACTTGGGAAGTAACACACCGAGTATACAGTGTTTATACGTCGGTAAAGAGCCAATAAAAAAAATTGATTCCATCTTATGAAAGTTCATTTCTTGGTCAATGGTGTCAAAAGCAATGTTTTCTCAAAAGGTGATCTTCCTTGGTTTTTTAACCATAACAGACCTTTTTAAAGATTTGTGTGTTTGGATGAAAATTGCTCTTTTATCAGTTTAGTGGTATCTTTCATCCTTCCCTGCAGGGTTCATATATTATTTTTATAAAGTGCAGTCTTATTAAAGATTCATGTTTTATTAGGATTGGATGCAGAAGTAATGGTTTTCAGCATCAAATTAGCAAATGTATACATATATATAATAACATATCTTTTAGAGCGTAACATATGCTACAATCTTTCCACTGCTGTAAGTGAATTAGTGGTAACCATTCCCCCAAATGTTCCCTTTACTTTAGGGCCCCGCGGTGTTCCTCTCCCAAGCAGTCCAGCAGTACGCCCTGCGCTTGCTCCATGAGAAGGGTTACACGCCCCTCTACACGCCGTTCTTCATGCGCAAGGAGGTCATGCAAGAAGTGGCTCAACTCAGCCAGTTTGATGAAGAACTCTACAAGGTAACAAGTTTCATCGGTGAATTGATTTTCTCGAGCCAGTACTGTACAGTGCAGTTAAAAAAAGTGTTGTAATAGAATCCAACACAAGTCATCCAACACAAGTTACTCCTGGGTGGGGAGAAGCAATGAGTGACAAAGTGCCTTACCCAAGGGCACACGCACCACAACCCCAGGCTGGACTCGAACCCACAACCTTCAGAATTACCCGCAGACCACGAATTCAATGCCCTTAACCGCGAGGCCAGGTCACTCCATAGACTGCCAATTCTGAGACAATGAGAGCTAGTCCCATTGAACAATGCCACAGTTGTATCCTGCTGCAGTTGGTGACCACCGACTCTGGGGCAATTCGGCCTTGAGCTTTTTAAACTGATAGATCTGGCTACACCAAGCAGCAGGGTGACTGTAAGGTCAGAGCCAAATTCTGCTAAATGCACATCAAAAATCTGTCAGATTTATCAAAAATCTGCCAAATTCACCAGAATTACTCGAAATACACTATAAACACTTAAAATCACATGCAGATCGGTAGTGTTGCCTTAATTAAGGTTCAAATTACATTTTAAACAATCTATAGTCCCTAAAGATGTTATGTAATTATCGCATAAATTTAGGGCTAAACGCGGATCCGGCCACGACAAAGTCCGTTTCCAAGTGAACCTCGGCACCAAGACCAGCCAACCTGTCCAATTATGCAAGGTTTTTTTTTGAAAGGATTGAAGCTTTTTAAAACAAATGTACCATTTTTTGTTCAAATTTACTGTTTTTCCGTCAAATAACCATTTTTGCAGAATTCTGCCAGAAATCTGCCAAAAAAATCCATTCTGTTAAATTTTCTGTCAAACACGTTTTTTTACAAAAATTGGGTCAAAGTTAGCCGAAAATCAGCTAAAACGGTCACCATGCCGAGCAGGTTACACTGTTGTGTTTAGCAGGTTTTTCGAGCCAAATACCCTGGAGGGTTAGGGCTATAGAAATAAACCTCGCGCTTTTGTTGTCCACAGGTGGTTGGTAAAGGCAGTGAGAAGGCAGAGGAGGCAACCATAGAAGAGAAGTATCTCATAGCCACCTCTGAGCAACCCATCGCCGCCTACCATCGCAACGAATGGATGGCAGTAGATGAACTCCCTAAACGCTACGCCGGCATCTCCTCATGCTTCCGTCAAGAGGTTGGATCCCACGGCCGCGATACCAGGGGCATCTTCAGGGTACATCAGTTTGAAAAGGTGGGTAGTTTTTACCCTAACCCCAGATCTTCAAAAACCACACGGAGTCTTTGCAGGAGGTTTTAGGCAGTTAAAGCCCAGCCACTGTAGGCCATCAGCCTCATTGTTTGGTCGGTATCACATGAGGGGAATAATGGTCATTGTGATTTTTGGCAAGCTATGCACCCCTGTAGTTGAAAAATATGTGATAGCATTGCAGCGGTGGCAGCTTTTTGATGCTATCATTTGGTCAGCGCGTGCGTCGATTTTAATCATGCGCGTCAACCTTTTTTTTTCTTCAAATTGTCCGCGGTAGCTACAGCAGCGCCCTCTATTGCCGTACCTCCTCACATTTTTGTACCAAGGAATGGGGAAATTGCACCAAGGCAAATGATGGAGGGCACCAAGGCAAATTATGGAGGGCCCCAATGTATATGAGGACACAACAAAAGCACAATAGTACCACCTTGTCTGTACAATCCAAGCTTGAAAAAAAAAAATGCCAAAAAAAAAAAAGCTGCGTCGCCGCATCAATTCCAGAACTTTGGTCTGACCAGAGACCGAATATTTTTTTTTTGGCCTTACTACATAAAAATTAATCCGGTAACAAGCATATTTGGCAGCCATTTTTAAAAAATAAATAAAAGTGATAACACCAAAAAAACTGCCACCCCCCTCACTGCAAAGCTATCATACATTTTCAAACTCTAAGATGTGCATACCTTGCCAAAAATCGCTGTGAGCATTGCTCCTTTCGATCATTTTGATACCGGTGGCCCAATTTTTTGACCGAAGCTGGTAGCCTACTGTTTCTTTTCATGGGGCTTGCTACATAGACTTCTTGAAAGTACACAGGGTTTGTTTTTATTTACTTTGGAGGATCAAGAAATGGTTCCATCAATGCAGGCCCAGGGAGTTAAGAAGGCCATTTAAAAAAAAACATTGTTTTTTCAGGTCAAATACTTACCTTATGAGCTGTTGGAAACAAATTATGACGATTGTGAATTAGAAATAGTAGCATTTTCCATTGGCTGGCATTTCCAATGAGAGGTTGTTTTTGATTGGTGCATGATACTTATACTTTTCAACCTCTAGCCAATGAGAATGCAGCTTGCAGCCTGATGCAAGATGGCTGTAATGCCAGAGGGTTTGTTGTTTAGGCACTCTTTATAGATAATTTACCTTTTTTTTTTTACTCACAAAATTCACAAGCCAAGCCACAGCAAATATAATTTGTTATCGTCTTGTCTTTCAGATTGAGCAGTTTTGTTTAACATCGCCCCTGGACAACAAATCCTGGGAGATGTTTGACGAGCTTCTTGAAAACGCCGAAGGATTGTGTCGAAACCTGGGCGTCAGCTATCGAGTCGTTAACATTGTTTCAGGTACGCTGTGTTTGATTAAAATTTTCGTTTGGCCTGACAATTTTCTATTACTCGTACATTTCTGCCTTAATTTCCAAACAAAAAACCAGAAAAATACCAAAACAGAGGCCTGATATTTTTGAATTGCCTAATTTGTATTAATAATTTATATTTTATTTTTTTGAATTTTTTTTTTTTTGAATTTTTTTCATGGCATTTAGGTGCTTTGAACAACGCAGCGGCCAAGAAACATGACCTCGAGGCCTGGTTCCCCGGCTCGGGTGCATTTAGAGAGCTGGTGTCATGCTCCAATTGCACCGACTACCAGTCTAGGCGGTTGCTGGTACGGCACGGCCAAACCAAGAAGATGAATGAACAGGTAAGATGGTAGCCTGGAGACGTGTCCAAATATCATATCGTCCCTGTAGTCTACTTTGTTAGTGCATATTGACGTGAAATACAATGTTTGTTCATACGAGTGTGGATATTTAAATGAGATGACCCCGTGCCAGAGGTCATAAGGTCAACGACTCACTGGCAAGCCTAAGACTTTATCCGCTCCGTTCACAAGTACCCCCTCATCGGCAAAGAGAGTACAGTTGGGGGTGACCGACCGACGCCATCTTGCCTAACTGCAATTCATTTGCTGCAAAGCGCGGCCACTGCGTGTACAAAGTACAAATCCCCTGGTGTACGTGCGTCACACACAAGGAACAGTGTGCGTGCCCCCGCCCATGGGACGTCGTTGCTAGGTAAAAGGGTGCCCTCTTTCGTCGGCGCACGGAGCCCATATCTGAGTGGGCTATAGACAAATCCGACGGCAGCCATTTTCTGCGGTGGCACCAGACTCGCGCGAGTCGCGCTCAGGTAGTACGCATGTACTCCGGGCTCCTTTGACCAATAGCAATACCAAAATGCACGTGCGCCTCGTCTTCAAGAACGCGTGCAGCATGAGCGTGACACCACCGCAGTAACGACTTCTAACGCTGGTCGCGGACTCCGCTATATTGATCTTTTGTTCAGACTGGTAGGATGCGACTATAAGTCACTGTTACACTCCAAACTACCCTGCCACTTATTCCCTGTACAGTGAAACGCCGCTGTAGAGAACATCGCGGGATCCACAGAAATTGTTCATAATAGCGATCGTTTGGTATAGCGATTTTAAGCTGCCGGTGCTTTGGTACTCACTTTTCAATAAATAGCGCCCTTCAGAACATCACCCTGCACGCCCTGGTAGTTACTGAAAGACGACTTTGAACATGTGCGGACTATTGAATTATGTAATCACGCAGTTTATGAGCTTACTACCTACAGCAATGGTGGCTTTCCCCTTCTATTCCTTGGAGAGATAATAGCCACTTGTCACTCTTCTGTTGATATTTTTCAACAACAATGTTAGCTAAGTTTTGTGCACAAAAATCGGGAGCCAAGGCCAAGTTCAGTATAACCGAATCTTCAGTATAGCGGTGTTCGGTATAACAACGTTCTACTTTACCGCCCCTAACCGCCCCAGTACTGTACAGGTGCTGATGGGTTCATTAAAGCTGAGAGCAAGTTTTGGTGAGGACCATTAGTCGGCTAGTGGTTGATTTGAGATGTAACTTACGCCTGCACAGTAATAGCGACATGCAAACGCCTCTAGTCAAACGATGGTCAAAACGTCATCACAAAACTTCCCGGACCTGGCTCCCATTGTGCTTTGTGATGTGCATGGCTATTGCTAACCAGCGATGCAAGCGTACCTCCTGGGCCGATTCCAAATAGACGACTAGTATACAAATATTGAGTGGAATGGGAGCAATATTATCGCAAGGTAAAATCTGGACTTCCAGATTTAAAGCCACTCATTTTTTGTTTTATATAACCAACATTATAGATCCTTGTCATTTGATTATAGTTAAAGTGATTTTCTATTTCAATACAACATTGGTGGGAAATGTATTTCTCTCTTCCAAACCACCCCTTCACCAAATGTTTGAACCCAACTCTGTAGCTACTGGCTCTTGGGAACAATACGCGCTATGCACAATGCTAAACGCGCACACCAGCATGCATTTGCACACAAATACCGCGCCATGGAACAAGGATGATCCTAACTGTTGAACAGTAAATCCCATTCACCATGGGTGAATGGGGCTTTTGAGCCCCGGCGTGAATGGGAGCAATAATGAATGTCATGTGATGTTAGTTCCACCAATCAAATGACAAGGATCTGCATGTCAGTTATATAAAGTAGTCCAATCATCCTTTGTTAGAGAGAAGTTAGTAGAATTATATTTAAAAATTTCTTTACTGGTAATATTAAGAAATAGCTTGTTTGATCTTTTTCCAGGCGGAGTACGTGCACATGTTGAATGCTACGATGTGTGCCAACACACGCATGGTATGCGTCATCATGGAAACCAACCAAACTGATGAAGGAATCGTAATACCAGAGGCTCTGAAACCGTACATGCCAGACTGTAAGCAATCCACTTGTTACTGTCCGTTTCGTTTACAGCCCTTATGTAAGAAACCATTCAATTGCCAATGCTCAGAATGTTTCCTGGCCCCTTCCCCTGTATATTGCCGAACGGAATATCGGCAATATCACTCATCGTAGTGAAATTCACTATGACCTCTTTTGCTTATCTTCCATTCCCCCCCCCCCCCCATTTTTGCGGCCTTAGTGAATGTTAAATTAACATTTATTTGATAATAGGAACTACTTGTAAGTGCCGAAAATGTACATGCATAAATATACAAATGTACAAGTCTCTTAATGGGCCCCAAGTATGAAATGATGTCATTTTTTTCTTCCGATCACCCGGCTGCTGCAAATTAAGGGGGTGGGGCAGGGGGAATGGACACTATCTGACTAATGAGGAGCTGTTCAAAGTGGAAGACATATGTCATTATCGGACAATAGTTGGCACTGTTCATTGTGGCATATTTGCCAATGGACATACGATTTTGCGGACAAGACAAGTTTGGCGACAAAAATGATTAATTGGGGTGGGAAGGGGGAGGGGTCACATCCCCACCCCTCCCACCCCAATTGACGCCCCTGAATGATGTCACCACCGTCAAAAAGAAATCTGGCAACACCCAAATATGAGCTCCAAGTTCAAAACGTTTCACTGTGTCCTTTCTCATCAGCCTACAAGGAGATCATCAAGTTTGTCAAGCCGGCGCCGGTAGACGAACAGCAAGCCAAGAAGGACAAGAAACAGAAGGAGGGCGGGAAGAAGAAAACCAAAAAGGAACCAATCGACGATGAAGTCAAGAAGATGTCGCTAGGAGAATAACTCTCCATCCCCATCCATTAACTAACAAATCTTTCATATACGGATAAATTAAATAGTAATTGTAAAAATGGTTCAAAATCGGTCAAAGGAAAGGTTTGTGGTTTGAACACTTATGCAGTTTTCTTTGAAACATTAACCTGTGGTACCCGCAAACTTTATAACAATAAGTTATTAAAGGGAAAATACAACATTTGCAAACATCGAAAAATAAAACTACCAAGTTTTTACGAAATACCTTACTAGGATGTTGGTAAATGGCAGTCTAAAGCATCCTGTAAAATTATGGCACCTGGTGTGAAGTCATTTTCAAGAAAATGGTATTTTTGTATACATTTCCAACGGTGGTCGGCCGACCACCGTTGGAAAACCTAACTTTTTTTCAACTACGGCTCAAAACTAACCATCTGTTTTCAGTCCAAATTGTATTTGCTATTGGTTACATGTTCATGAATGGGTGCAGGACAGCTAGACTGGTTCCCTTACCTTACAATTTTCAGGTATTTATAAATTGATCCATTTCAGCTTTAGTGCTGTCAGGGAACCCGACTACTTGAACGTTTTTGTTTTTCTTGGTTTTCCAGCATTTTCGAACATCAAACATGTCAGTGTAACAACATTTGATCTATTATACTAACCCCTCAAATAGTTCATTTCTGAAAATTACAGCAAAAGCCAATGATGTATATTCCCTTTAAGCTTTAGTAGGATTGGTATATGGTACTTATATTTGGAATTTTCAGAAGATATGGAATTGGAAGTCTGTCGGTTTAAAAGAGTTAAATCTTGTTTTAAAAAAACAGTGTACAATGCATAAGATTAAATTGCCATGTACATTGTATGGGTATAACTCATCATGTACTATAAACTCGTATATAACCAGATACGTTGACTATCGTGTATTTGCCAATATTGCCCTCAGCTTCTCAATTTTTTTTTTTTTTGAGTGGTTATATACTTTTCTTTTGTCTGACAATCATCTACTTGTCTTGTTCTGTTTGTCTCTTATCATTATATTCTCGAATTCAGATTTCGTCAATTTGTTTTTAAACCAAGTGTCAACACCTGTAGGCTTGTTTGAAGATTGATGGAGTCTGGGATTAAGATTTCATGAAAGTCAAACACTTCTGTAAACTTTTTTTCTTCCCAAATGTGACATCTGCTTCTTCGAATGATTCGCATAGCAGTTTTTTCACCAATAAAAGGCTGTAACTATGGTATGTTGCAAATAAGATGAAACTTGGGGGAAAATACTATCAAGTAGGGACAAATTCTGAACGAATTTTAAAAGGGGGTTCCTTATTCCCCATCAAAACAAACAATAATACAAAACTACAATAAAATGCACTTTTCTGTTTTCTTAATCATGACTTTCAATTTATGATGGCAACAGGGTGATACCCGAGATATCGCTGCACTTTAGGTGAAACCAAAATATTTGAAGCTGATTTCAGGATTAAAAAAAAATTCTCAGATTTTGTCAGTTCGTGGGCTCACTATCCTCGATGAATTGCATCTTATCCTATTAAACCCTTCCTCTGCACGAAAAATGGACTTGATACTATGTATCTTCTCAATAATCCTTAATAAACAGCTGATCAACATTAAAATAATGAAGAAATGATATTCAAATTGTTCCAAGTTTATAACTTAATTTCATAACTTTGAGTATCCTGATGACGAGCAGAGCATACTGTTCGAAAGGTCGAGTTAAACCAACTGGTTCTTCTCAGAACCACACAACTCACTGAGAGATATCATTCACATGGTGTTACCGCAAACCTCAAATTCATTGATCGATCGTATCCACCATGCAAACCCTTAAGTCTTAAGCTTATTTAATGACAGACATTTATGACTGTAAACATAAGTATATGTGTCAAATAAGAAAGTTGAATTAGACAAATTTTAATTCCAAACACCCCCCCCCCAAGAATTTCCTTTCAATTTCAGAAGTAGATATTTCTGAATCTCATCTTTGACTGCTTTTATTTTTGTTTCCTGTTTCCCGTTTGTCAAATTATTATTTTCAAGTAATGGCTGGAATTTATTAGGCCTACATGCTTTGCTAAAAAATGTAAACATTATCAAGGTCAAACGTGTTTTCTCTTTAATTGCTCCGATTTTCTGTATAACTTTAATGAGAGTAAATGGAAATTGTCTGTGTGCACCAATGAAATTCTGTCGCCTTTCATTTGGAGGAAAAGCTTTGCTACATAAGATTGCGTGGATTAAGCATAATTGTTTAAGCAGAGCGGTATACGGAATATTCATACTATCAGAAAGGGAGGGGTATTGCTTGGAATAAAGATATTTAACTCTTCTTGAATTCATGATTTCTTTATTTCTGTTAATTTGGTGTCATGGTCGTTCTGTAACGATATTTGAAAGTGGCTTACACATGTTTGTTTTCGTTTTAACGAATGAAATGTTTTATTTTTGTAAATGGATGAGATTCCTTCAACATTTCGTTGGAAGTCACAAGAGGGCGCTATTTGTATTTTGGAGATAAGTTGGGAAGAACTGTTCAATTTTTCCCCGTGTGTCGCGGTTATTTCTAATGAATTTCCTCCAAACGTCCCATGATATTTTAAGGCGGCCTCAACCTAGCGCTAAAATTGATATCCTTAAATTGTTTGATATTTGTTCTCATTCTGCAATAGCTCTACAGCATGCCATAATGATTAGTCAATATAATAATTTCATACAAACTGCCGTATGTAGTACAGTATAGTTTTGTTTTTGTTGCGAATGAGCATTTAGAATGAAAGAATAATTAAATCAATTCAAGATGTTCCTCTTGCACACGGTATGCACGAACGAATTGAGCAAAATAATGTATTGAATTAGGTAATAATTAAATTATGTGTCGTTCATCGCATGTGCTCATCCATTGCATTACCGGAGGGAGGATAAATCGGATACGATAACATGATACGACAGCAAAGCTAGGGATCTCCAACTTTCAAGAATTTCACAGCTCCTTGGAGGGCGATTCAGTGGAAATGAATCTCCGATTAGAAATCCATTGCAACAGAAAATGAGCAATGTATCCTTGTCAGAACTTCCCAATGAAAATGTAATTACAACCTCGGAGCTGTATAAAACTGCAGTAATCGAGAAGGGACATACAATCTTTGTGTTTACCACGCGAGCTGTGGGTCTTGGGTTATTAGATCGAGAGAGAAGCGGGAAAGTTGCTAGATTGAATTAAAAAACTTGGTTTTGTTCCTTTTGGGGCCACGAGTAAAAAACTACGAGTCGTGGCCCCCGTCTCAAGTACTGGACTTCTTGGCCTCCATAATGTGAGTCGCACAGCGATGCATGCTAATATTAGCCTAATGTCCTAAAAAGTTGTTCTCTTGGACTCTAGACTGTTTTTCCACTTGAAGTTCACTATTGGAAGCTACTTGCCTGTTAAAAACAAAAGCAGGAACTTGAGATCATATTTCCTACCTTTAGACGTCTGTAAAAATCCAGTCATTTCGGACAACTTTTCTCTACATTTTCCCTCATTTTATGAGACTAGGTCTATTACCACTTGGTTCATGACGTAAGTGCCCAATTTACTCAGCACTGAGCAAAATAAATTTTGAACTAAATACCGTACCGTCAAATTAGACCGTGGGCCAAGTGCCAAAAAGCTGTTAAATCGTGACGTACCTAATGCAGTTACTTTCTGTTTAAACTGGCTAATCGAGATAAATACAATTTATGATTTAAACGATGTTCTTCCAGGTGTAGGTTTGATTGTTAGTGAGCCATATAGGCCATGATAATGCCATCCCCACTTCCCTCACGAGATTCTGTGAAGCTCATCAGGTTGCAGGCCAGTCAATCGGTCCAAAATTGCCCACGCCAGCCAAATCACTATTTGCGTGCCCTCAAATTCTTCAGTATTTTGGGCATATTGTGGGCCATGAAATTGAGGGTTTGTAAAAAATATGGGTGGAAGCCGTGCACAGGCCTGTGAGCTTACATGGAGTTCTGTGCAGTTTGGATGAAATTGGGACCCTAAAAGTGCTCTATTTTGCAATGCAGTGTAGGCATCGTTTTTCAAAATGGCGACGGGTTTCAGGACTACTTTAAGGGGTGATCATCTTCGCATGGAAATTTCTCCTAAAAGTCATCAGTTCACCCCCGAAAATTTAAAAGAAAATGAAAGATGATGAACGGGCATTGAACACGACACTTTCCCCCACAGTAAATGTATTTCAGGTGGTTTGCCAAACCACCCTCATGTACAACTGCGTCCTTCGGCGAAAGTCCAAGAGCGAAATGCAGTGTTCACACCGAGCGAGCCGGCCTGAAGGTCTGTCTGTCTGTCTGCCTGCCGGCCTCGCGAGGTGTCCGGCCGGGCGCGTCTCGCCTTCAGGCTGGCCCAACTACTGTACACTTCCGCTCATTGATCATGAATGCGAAGTTCAACATTTTTACATGACTCATGCATGCACGCTTAAATTTATGATATAAATTCGAATCAATGTTTTTCATCGTAGGCCTAACCACACCGAAAGAGCTTACATTTTAACCGAAATTGTCTATAGTTGTGATCTCTATATGCCCAAATTATAAATACAGGCGTTCCAAATTATAAATACAGTCGGGAAGACTAATTTGATGAAGCAGTTTTAAACAGACTTCAAAAACCACCCATGTGACGGGCTTTCGACCAATAGGAATGTCTATTACTGTCCAGAATGGTATTTAAACTGTTAGTTTTTACGCCGAATTATAAGAGTCATGGAATTTAACACCGTAAAATATTCTGCAAATATTTATTCTCAGGGCTTTGCTTATTTCCATGGGGCACAAAGATGTAGGCATGTCAAAAATCCTTAAAATGTACGCGAACTTAATTAAGCACGTGTGGTTTCTCCTTTCAAATATACTTTCAGGTGTAGATTATCATGCGGCATGCACGCACGTTTTGTCCAAAGCAGATCATTAGGAAAATGACATTTACAAATGAAGTTCATGACGATAATCACTTTTTTCTCATGGCTTGAGGGCTGAATTTAAAAAAGCGTGAGTACTGGGACAGATATGCTGAGCTATAGTTTATCATGTCAGTTTGTATATCAATTTCTTATTTGACTTTGAACGTGACATCTTGATATTTTAGAACTCTGACATGATGAGACTTGACCGCAAATCTACCGTGTCTGAAATTTCCTCCAGAAAAAACGGGTGTTTTTTTCCTAGTGAAAAAAATCAAAGAATTGTGATGGAACGCGTGCACACATCACAGGCCTATAATGAAACCTCGATTTCCTCCTGTGTGTGTTTGTTTCAGCCGGCCCAGCTAATTATATAACCTTGGTGACTGCCCGACTGCCAAACTTCGATTTTTCTGGCCCTTTAATTATCGCGGATGTGACATCAATAGTAGACACCATCGGTATATGTACATGAAGCATAATTCGATTTCTCCGGCAATTGAAATGATGATGATGATGACGTATACGTGTAATTGCATTTGCACTACATAAACACTGATGCGGCTGCTCATCAAAATGGAACACTCCTGCCCTAGGTGGCGCTATATTCCGGGCGGCACAGGAGCAAAACCAGAACAGAAAAATACACAGGAATTAAGCCTGACCGTAAAGAAACTCGGTCCGGTTGTACAGTGCACTTGGGGTTGAGGATGGGACTCTTTTGTGGGGTGGGGGGGGTGAATGAAATTTTAACAATAAAAATACAATTTTTAGGTGAGGGGGAGCAAAGGACGGAGGCAAAGTTCTCAAGGGGGAGGGGGCGTGTCCCCGCTCTTTATGCAACCCTGCGGTTGCACGTTACATAAAATACATCAATGGCCTGAACTGCTCTTCATTACGTTCAAAGTACTTTGTCATGCACATAAACCGTTCCACTGAATTCTCACGCATGACATTAAAGTTTAAAAGCCAGTGCAGTCAAAAGGCAACCATACATATAATTTCTTTCGAAGCGGCCTTTGGTTGTGTTCAGTTTATAACTGCGCGCGTATTTCAACAACTGATATCCTATATATCTGCCCTAGAACTTCTTCAGCTTGTGTTTTTTTATTTAAATGCTGATACACTGCATGCTTATACCGTGTTTACCTGAAATTACACAATCTTAAAAACAAAGAAAGTTTGTGACGATTTGATCAAAGCAGAATCGTTCTCGGAGGCCAACAAAATAATGGATTTTTGTTTGAATGAACTCCAATAAACCCCCGGCACAAATTACGGGTTGGACGCATATAAATACATGAGTGATATAAATTTGTTAAATAATTGAGGGCTACATCTGTCTCTGACGGTTTGTATTCAATGAATTGATTAATTCTTTTCTGGCTTGGATTACCATCACGCAATATCATAACAACACCAGACACATCATAGAATAAGAGTATACAAACAGTGGGATTCTTTTATTCATTTCACGATGTAAATATTCAGAACTCCACAACGGATAAACATGACAATGAGCGTTTGTTTGTTTGTTTGTTTGTTTAATTGCTGGATTGTTCTTTGTTTGCTTGTTTTTCTCATCACGTGATTCTCACAGGAAGAGCATTGAACATTGTATTGCTAGGAGCAGAATGCCACAGTGATTAATTATAGCGATATCACACACATTTGTTTCAGAACTTTGAAATCTTATATCTGACCTTTACCCCATATTATACCATATGGTTAACACATCGAACATCATTTCATAGGAGAGAGACACAGCTTAATTTTACCCCGGCTCAATTCGTTCTATGAGTTACTTCAAGTTGTACACAGAAAATTAATTTTTGAGTTACACTTTTCTCGAAGATCCCTCGTCCTCTACGACTTGAATACTGCATATTTTTGGGATGGTTTAATAATACTTTCGAAATCCGTTTGTTGGAAACAAGTTCCATCTGTCAGAATAAAGGCTATATATCTTTGGCCAGGTATTATTACAAAGTGATCCATACACATAAGACAACGGAACAAATTTATATTGTGAAATATCAAAATACAAAAACTTACAAATATTATGTTTGAATACTCCATGAGTTTCATTATTTCAACATTTTGCTGAATAAGACTCACGTTCATTTATTAAGTGTTGTGTTGAAATACTTCTTTTTTTCGGAGGGTTTATGCACGTAAATATATTTTAAATATACCCCTGTGTGACATTTTACCATTAGCTATTGACCTTTTCATCAAGCAGTTCAGCAGTTGAGAAATGATTGATATCTTGTAGACTCAAGAGTTATTCTTATTGCTGCATATTAGTGCGATTCACATTAATATTTATAGAGAAGTTATATCATATCTCGTAAACCTTTCACACTTACATTCATTACATGAATATTGGATGTGATCAACCATAATTTATCATAACATTGATACTTTGCAATAGTACGAAAGAATTCAATGATGATTGTAAGCTTTTATATGTCCAGTGAAATATTTTTATATTATATACTCAGCCGAAGTGGGAACACGCGCCGGGGTATATAAAATGTCAATTGGCCCCAACTACTGCATGACGCAACCATTATGAAATCACAGTGCTTTTTTTTCTCAACTATACGCATGCAAAGGTATTATTGCTTGATACATATTTTTTGTGCTCCTATTATTGCAGAACCCGCTGCTTTAAGGGAATCTATATTCAGTAACCAATCATCAGCAGGGCCCAATTTCATAGAGCCGCTTAAGCAGAAAATTTGCTTAAGCACGAAAAAACATTGCTTAGTAAAATTAGGTTACCGGCCAAAACTCCATGTGATGTACATTGCTTCTGACTGGTATTTAGCTGTTGTTTACTTAGCATAACAATCGCATTGAGTTTTGGCCGGTAACCTGATTTTACTTAGCAATGTTTTTTTCGTGCTTAAGCAAATTTTGTGCTTAAGCAGCTCTATGAAATTGGCCCATTTTAATGTGTGTTCGAATCCTGTTTAAGTTTCCCGTGGGCAGACACCAATTTAAATAAAACTGATTAATACCCAAATATCATATACACACCCTTGTTATGCAAGACATCATTGATATTTGTCAAACTTTTTTTTATGAAGAACAGTAAAAGCATGTGTAAGGGAAGTGTTTGTAACACAATGCCCGATATAAATAGCTTATTATTCACGATCTGCTTTACATTATCTCAGAGGTTTGAGGGAAGGTGAGACTGTGAAATACTGTCTTTTATTACAATACATTTTGAAGATGAAATGTTTTTTGAATACAATGTCCAAACCCACATGATCTATCTCGAGGAGACTTAGGTTGATTGACGTTAACTGTGTTCCTCTTCCACAACGAAGCTATGATCCCTCGATAGCACAGGGAAGCACTCCACCTTATGGCCTCGGTTCCAGTGGAATCTCTGACAATCCTCGTTGCAGTATCTACTCAGTCGGCACCTGGAGCACAGCCTGAACTTCTGGCCGGTCTTGAGCTCCTCAGACCGGCCGCATCCAGGCGAGGAACACCAGCGAATCATCTTGAGGTGCGGGGTACGGAAGACGGCAGTTCGCTTGCTGTTGGTACCCGGGTTGAAGGTCCACTCTAGGTGGGCGCCGTCCCCTTGCCGTAGGTTCCCCCCAAGCTGTGCGATCAGGCCAGCTACAAGGAACCCCGATTTGGCGATCAGATCCCTGCGGACCATGTAGTGCCAGAGTCTGCTGGCTTCTTTCATGACTTGGTATTCCCGCAGTAAAGTCCGGCAGGTGTTCCCACCGCTCTCCCCCATCAGATCCAAGATTCTCAGGCAGGTCTCTCCGATGATGATGTTCCGAGTGCGGCTGAGGAGACTCACCACGGTCCTGATGAAACCACACTGGCAGCAGACCACCATGACGTCGCGGTCCCAAGACGCGTACAGGCAGTTGTAAGAGATGGCGAGAGCCGAGACAACCACGCTGCTCATGCTGTAAGAAGACAAGACAAGGTCTTCCGAAGCAGAGGACACCGACTCCCGACTTATCTTCCTTTCTCTCTGCTGTTCGTGCCGACTGTTGGCTTTGTTCTCTCGAAGATTCTCAGATGTCCTGAGACACGACAAGATGAGTCTGTTCATCATAGGAATCAGATCTACTCCTGCTTGGGCGATTCTCTGTAAGGAGGGCGTGTACAGACAAGACATCCAGAGAATCCGCAGAACACTCTGCATCTTCAGATCAAGGCAGACATCCGGGTTTCCCGCATCGGTGCATAGATAACCCAAGCAGTGTTCTAGGAGTGTTTCTGCAAGACGTTGCACGATCCGACAGTAAGTGAATTTATCCACAGAGCTCAAGTCATCCAGCCCGTCAAGGAGTTGATCCAACGCCGACTGGTCCTCCGCTCCAGGACGTCTGAGATGTCGGCCAAAGTTCCGGATATGTGCCTCCAAGTCTCCATGTCTCAACGCAGCCACCACCTTACTAGTGGGTGATACCAAGCGGGTAGCCGGCATACTGCTGGTGCTTTGGTAAGCACTCTGACTACTAGTAGCAGGACTGGAGCTCCCCCCATCTTGCATCTCCACATCTGCGTCTGTCGAGCGAGGGATACCCGTGTATTTCGATCTCTTCTTCATCTTATTAACTCGTTTCGCCTCGACGCCTCCGGTATCTTCGCGCAAGGACGTGGCGAGACGACAGTGACATCCTTGGCCGGCCGCACCTCAGTGTTAACCTGCCAACGTTTCCACCGGCACCATGGAGTTTCTCACGGCCATCCAATGCATATTTTAACACGGTAACTGTGGGTATTCGACATCCAAGTCCGTGCTGAGTCATCCAGGACGGTATACCGCATCCAGTTGATCAAAAGCCGATCGTCTCCGTGTGGAAAAGTGCTCAGAATTAACGCAGAACTTTAACTTCACAGAAACAAAAATGGCTGCTTGAAAACTTTGGCCTCCGTGCAACGAGTCACCTCTAATTTCCCGTGCAGTTTATTTTTAACACAAAAAATAGCCACAATGGAACACTGACACCCATTATATTCCGTTTCAAAAGCCCTTCAATGCTACTTCACGCTTGGCTGAAGGTTTGACTGTGGTTCCTACTTTTAATAATCCTGTTTTGCCCGTTGCGTAAAAGCAAAGTTTGGTCCACCATGGCACTTCTTAGGTTATGATGATTGGGCTCTGTTGTGGCAACCGTGGGCCGGGGCAGCACAGTCAAATCTGCATGGAAAGGAGAAAAAAAAATCTTTGATAAGACGAAATCAATAAAGGCAACACTATGGCCAAATTTTCTTTTGGTAGAATAAGCACTTCCAAAAGACCGGCAAACAAATCAGAGCATTGGTATGCGACGACTCCGTGAACTTGCAGGAATGTCGGGCTTTCCACCATTTTGTTATAGTTTGAGTCATGACATGTCGAGGCCGGGTTTCGAAGCAGGTTAATTAAAAGCGTGAAAGAAAAGGCAGAGTTAATCTGGCGTCCCAAAAATCTGACGTGAAAACTGATGAATCATAGCCTATGCGATCTTGGAAGTACAGTCCTTTCTGAGAAATAACATGGGGAAATAGTTCAATGCATAGCATTGGCGTATAGTCCTTTGATTAATTGTTATACTTAACGGGCATCAAAGTTCATCAATTAAAATATATAAGTTTTCAATAGGGCTAGATGGTTCAGTTGGTAGAGCACCGGAACGGTAATCTGGGGGTCGCAGGTTCAAACCCCGATCCGGTCAATTTCTTTGTTCAACTTTGACAAAATGTAATAAACGGAATCAGTTTCCCTTTGGGGTTTATTTGACAATTAAAAATAAGTTCACTCATTTTAAAGTCAAGGGAATTCAATAATCATTGGTTCGAGAAAGGCTTTACTCATTTGCTTTCAAAGTGACAGATGATTAAAATGGCCTTAAAACACAGTCGGTGATTTCTTGAAGATAGAATCTCCGGCCCCTTTGGGTAGAACATTATAACAAGCAATACCATGCCACGTTGCCACATAGTTTCTTCACGATATTGCTTCTAAGCGTAGTCATTCTATTTGTTAAAGGCTACCTCTTAATATAAATGCTTTTAGATTTATTAAATACAAATTCTGACAACCATGTAAGACCCTGATTCATTCATTCATTCATTGGAGTATCGTATGATCATTGTGTCATTTTAATTTTAGATAAATACCAACCGTGTCGGTGAATATATAATTATGTATGTATGAAATGTCAAAAACTGTACTTTCATAATTTGAATGAAAAAGTTTTAACTATTAAAAAGAGAGAATCGGCGATGTTAACTTGAAATTCAATTGATCATCATACAGTCTTTATACATATCTATTGAAAGATTGAGCATTTGAAGCTATTTTGTCTAGATTGGCCACTATTCCAACGACCGTGTTTTTACCAACAAAGTGCAAGGCCGTTATTGCTAGCATATTTAATGTGGACAGATGAATGTCCACTAGCCTATGATAGCATATGCTTTGCCACACACACATAACTCTCTCGGAGGAAAGGAATGTATTGTCTGTCATCCATTGCGATGGAATGGCTGCTGACGTCACCGCACCGATGACGTTTCTGACGGCGTTCGGTGACCCCGAATCATGACGTCACAGCTGGGGTCAAGATCATCTGCCGTGTGACGAGCAGGCCTAGCCACATGTTTAGGAAATTGTATTGTATCGATCTGGTGAAACTGAAACACGGTGTAAATAATGGAAAGGCTTTGATGCACTGTAGTTTTAATTACATTGGGTGATGATGAGCCCATTCTCAAGGTAGATATAGGTCATGAATCATCAATTATTACTCACCCTAGTTCTGAAAAAAATACAAAATTTATTGTGAAATTTGGTATTTGAAGTTGACATCACTCAACTAATTAACGAATTATAAATATATGGTATCATCAAAAGTATTTATATTCCTGTCTGGAAGCTCATACAAGCTCGCTGGAACAAAGTTTTGCCAGGGGTGCTGGAATTTCTAATGCGAACGCGGTAAAAGCCCTTACGGCGTGGCTTAAGGGCCCCTAAAAATGTTGGATTCTGGATGCTCTGTGGTGCAATCTGAGGCGATTCCTTGCCACTTTCATATGACTTTTTTAGCAAAAGCTTTTTTGAGATGATAAGGACAATTTATTTCATTATTTTGTTTAGAACATACTGTTACTCTTATAACGTTTCTACTGTACTGAAAAGTCGAGAGCCCTGTATTTTTATTTCCGTTTTTCCCCCATTTAATTCTGGAAAGAGAATTGTATGATTATGCATGGCATTGTATGCACATATTATTTGTTGCAAGGCTGCTTTCTTATATATACATTTAGTAAATTCCTTCGTGTATGTTTTATGTTTTATTTTCCGAGCCCTTACGGCGTGGGGTCCGGGGCCCGCTTATTGGGCCCCGCAAAATGTTGGATTCTAGAGGCACTGTGATGCAAAAAGTATGAACCTGAAGAAAAAAAAGTTGTTTGGTTCATGTTAAAACAAATGATTCCACTGGGACGGATGGATTTCTGTTCATACAAATATTCACAACTTAGTTAGCCAATAAAATAGTTCTAACTCAACAAACGATGTAGCTCTAGTTATATTTGCAGTGTTATTTGTTTGCTAGGGAATGGCAAATATAAAAGACTAAAGGGTGTTAATCTTGAGTACAGAATGCTAGCAACGTCAATGGAACTTTTAAATGAAAAAAAAAACACCAGGGGAAGGTATGAACAGTGTGCCCCTATTGAAAGATAGAATGAAAAAACTCCTACAATTCCTGGCAAGCATAAACAACTTTGCCACCATTGTCATGGCCGAGGTTATTGCTTTTGGGTCAAGCATCCATCATGGCGTAACTCTGCGCCACAATATTGCGTAAGTTGCTAATGTCGTCCTTATTGTAAAATGCGATGAAAAAAGTGCCGACAACTCCTTGCAAGCGTTAACAACTTTGCCACCACCATTGTCATGGTCCAGGTTCATTTCTTCTGGGTCAAGCATTCATCATGGCGTAACTCCACACTGGCGCCACAATATTGCGCAAGTTCATAATATCATAGACATGTCATGACTTTAGATAGTTTGAGAGAAATATCGATTCTGCACTGCCTGAAGATTTAGAAAATACCTCCTCTAAAAAATGTACAGTGTTTGTACAAGACGCTCGAAGCGCCGCGCTTAGTCGCGGCAACGCTAAAAACGAAAAAAAATCGGAAGGAGATATTTTTAGAGCAAGCATAATGTATAGCGCAGCGGCGCAATTTCATCGTCGTAGAACACTGCTGGCTCGAACACATTTTTGCCCGGGAGTAGGGGTGCTGAAGCATATTCCAGCACCCCAATCCAAAAAGTATGGGGTGCTGCAGCACCCACAGCACCTCCGTTCCAATACATTGGTAATGAATTGATTTTGTTGCGATCAAAATTACGCACTGAAGTAGTTATGTAGTTTCAAACTTTGGAATATAAATATCTAAACCTTACGGTTTGAAGGTTCTCTCGAGAAAAGATTCTGATAAGAATGTTTACGCGCGAGAAACTTTACCTCTCTCGTCTGGCGAACAATGCGGATCGGACGGCTCGGGCCTTAAAATCTGTCTCGATCTCTATCAGTTTCCTTGAAACGTTTACACTTTGTTAAGAAGCGTTTTTCTGGGGAAGATAATGTGTGGCATGCATCAACAAAATCATATTACTAATACATTGTTGAGAGCCGGCAATTCATTACCACTATATTTGACGGATCTGAAAACTGACCTGTTTGCAAACACGCGTCGTTCATAATTATATACGAAATTGAGTCATAAGTCAAACTGTTTACGAGATTGAAGGTAGAAGAGCGGGCAACAGTGATGACGTTATAGACGTTTGATTTTGTTCATATCAACTGTCAGTGGCGTAACTGCAGAGCGGAAATCGTAATTAAGGGGAGGGGGATGGAGGCACACCCCCCCCCCCCTCGTTTGACGCCTGTCTCCTTTGTGCCCGCACTCCGAAGTTAGAGAAGGCAAGATACCCCCCCCCCCCCCCACACACACACACACACACACTCAGTCGTTTTTTGCTATGCTTCCGAGGATTGGCTTTGTGTACCACGACCACATTGCCCCATGCAATGAGACTCTGTAAAGTTACGCTTGCCTGATTGTTCCTATGTGCTCACATCTTTTCATTTGAGCAAATTTTTGAGTTATGAATGAGGCCTGCGCAGAGGGGAGATGTACAGCCTCACCACTACCCTAAAATCTTTTGGAAAAAACGGCGGAAGAAAGCATTATCAGAGGTGGGGAGGGGCTGTCGAAAGACCCATCCACGTCTCGCGTGGCACTGCTTGCTGTCTGACTGTATTTAGGCATCGTCTGCTCTCCAAACAGAACTTTATGATTACATTTCTAGAAATTCGTTTGGAGCTCGCGATAGGTCATGTAGGAGATAATTACACTTACTCAGACGTTAACGGGTGGGGGTATATATCCGGACATTCTGGAATTTGTATTCTTGTGGAGACATTTCTTTGTTCTCGGGTAGTAAAGTTTTCGAGTTTGAAATTGAAGTTTCAAAATGCTCTTATTTTAACCAGAATTAATTTCCTGGGCTGAAATTTGGACTAAATATCCCTTTTCTAAAACTCTTCCATTTGCGACGGATCAACCGACCTTGGAAATTCCTAGTTTTTGAGTAAAATCCATAAATCTATTTCGTGAAATTCTTGTGGAGACGTATTCATTTATAGAAATGTTTTTGTGGAGACGTATACAATCTTTTGTTCCCTATTGTGTGCATGTCTCCGTAAGGTAGTAAATTCCAGCATCCCCCCCCCCACACACACACACACAAACACACCCATTTTGACCGGGGGTGGGCTATTTGGATCATCCCCCTACTTTTTCGTGATGAGAAAAATATGCAGATTTTGAGATATTTTTCGAACTCGCCAACAACCAGAATGTATTCAATAGCACTGAAAAACGGATAATTTGTTTGAATGCGCTTTAAATGCAAGTATAAAAGTATGAAAGTATAAATAAGATGTACCTCTGTATCATGAACAGCGCCCCCTAGTGTAATGTGGTGGTCCCTCCGGTCACACCCCCCCCCCCCCCGACCGCTTTTGGAATTTCCACGACCGTTAAATTTTTTTTTGGACTTTGGTGTCCCCCGCCCCAGTCCCCGTCACAGATGTATACAATAGCCGGCTGGCTACGGGCTTCACTACGAACAGC